ACACGGACATATTATAACCTCTCACCTCTTGAATATTTGTAAATATTTAAACAAAGAAAAAGAAGAAAAAAAAATTAGAATTGAATGATGATTTTGTTCCAAAAAAAAATTCATTGATATCATTCATTCAAGGTACAAATAACACTTCAAAAAATTTTTAAATGGATCAATCAATAAATATTTGGTAATTGACACCTGGGAACTGAAATTTACAACAACAACAACAACAAAATGTGATGATCACACACATGTATTTTTTTTTGTTTATCTGTTTGCTGCATGACTTATAGGTCGTCCATTTTTTTTGACCTGATCGATTCACCTTTCAATAATCATCGACTTTAACTTTAATGTCTATATGGTTCAGCAAACAACAACGACAGTGACAATTGTATTATTTACATTTAATATGACCATAATAAAGATGTTTGTTTGTTCAGTTTGTATAGGTCGTATGGCCTGACAAACAAAATCGTATTCGATTCATTGATCAGTCAAAAAAATAAAATAAAATTTGATTATAATAAAAGAAGAAGGTCCGTTTTGGGTTTTGTGGGTTTTTTTCTTTGTCCACAAAATAAATTACTTATTGAACCGAATTGATCAAACCACGAAGCTCATTCATTCATTCATTTGTTTGTGGTTTATTGTTCACTAATTTTTTTGGTCGGTTGGTTAGTCGGTTGATTGAATTAATGACAATGAATAAGGGTAAGGATTATACACCTTATTATCCAAGAGAAAAAAAAGACGACAAAGAAAGAAAAAAGTCGGCTAGTTTCTTCTTATTAATAAGAAGTTACCAAATTGATAAATCCAGATTTAAATACTGAACCAAATAATTGCAGAAAAAAAACACACACACACACACAGACCGACCGACCGAAAATAATGACAAAAACTTTATCTTGTCCTCATGTTGACAATAATATCGACATAATAGACAAGATCAAAAAAAAAAAAATCATTGGATCCAATTGTTCATTGAATGAATGAATGAATGATAATATAGATATTTGATTTGAATATAAAAGAACAGAAAAAAAACGAAAATTTCAAAGTAAAATGAAGTAAAAAAAAAATCCATAATTCAATTCACCAATGGAAATGTTCTTGTTTTGTTTTGTTTTTTTTTATTCTCGCCAACACTAATTGAATAATAATGTGTCTATATATGGCGTCGCTATCAATCAATCAATCAATCGATCGATCGATCGATTGATCGAACAATCGATGGGGTGAACAAAGAAAAAAAAATTGTTTTGTCATGTCAGAATTACGAAAACGAAAAAAAAAATGTAAATAATGATTGTAAATTATTTCAAAATTTGATGATGATGATGATGATTTTCCATAATAAGTCTGTATATGGATGATTGGATATGGATGTTATATGTTGTATGCAAATGTTTGGTTTGGACAATTTTTGTTTTTTTTTGTTTATTTCAAATTTTAGTCTACAAAGAAAAAAAATCGACGGCTACTGCAAATAATTGCAAAGAAATCTTACAATCGATCGATAATAATTTTCGAGATTGAATAATTTCGTACAAAAAAAAAAACAAACAAACAAATTACTGTTTCACTGAATTTGGCCAGAATTATTGAATTTTGTATTCGACAAAAAAAGAAAAGTTTTTTGTTTGTTTGTTTGTTTGTGTATATGCCAGACATTTATATTTATGTCGAGATCGTGTAGTCTCATTGATGATGATGATGATAATGATGATGGTTGGTTGGTGGTGACGACAGGTATATTAACATAAAAATTTCATCAACTTTTTTCTTCTTCTTCTTCATCATCATCATTTAATGATGATGATTTGGTTTTTTGGATATGAAGAATCATTCTATAATTCAAATCCAAATTCACAATAGAGAATTGAACACACACAATGGAATTATGGAAATGAATTTTTTTTTTTCTGTTCTTCTGTTTGACAATAACAATAAACAGAAACACATATCTATCTATATATATATATATGGAAAAATGATCCATAACGAATATTCTGACAAAATTCTGACAATTGACATTTATTCAAATTTGACAAAAATTGAAAATAAAAAAACCAATGACATACACACATATATTTTTGTAATTTATTATTATTAAAGAAAAAAAAATCAAATACAGATCACCAAAAATTCTAAGCTAACAAAACACCATTGTTATTTGGTCGATTGGTTGGCTGATCATCATCATCATCATCATCATTAACAATTTTTACGCTTGTCATTTATAGCATCCATTGTGTTTGGTTGTGTGTGTGTGTGTGTTATGGTTACGGTTAACTTAATATAATAACTATAAATGGATGTATATAACTAACCGATGATGATGATGATGATGAGGATGATGATGATAATAAACGCCAAAATTCGGATTCAATTTCTGATTTGGAACAAAATTCATTCAACCAAATAAATATAAAAAAATGATGATGATGATGATGATGAAACAAACATAGAGAAAATGAAATGAAAATTAAATTTGAATCACAACAAATTTTTTTTTTCGTTGATTGAATCAATGAGAAGAAAGAATGGATGGGAATGAAAAAAAAACATGTTTTTGATATGTCATATTGTTTTGCGATTCATATTATTCTTGTATTTTACATCCTAGATCCTGATCGTGTGTGTGTGTGTGTGTGTCAACGAATGATTATCGAGTCTATCTATTACCTCCATCAACGTTTTTTTTGTTTGTTTGTTTTCAACACACACACACACTTTGGATTTGAAGTGAAAATGTCTAAATATTACGATTATTTATTTCGATTTTGATTTCGATTTCTACAATCGATTGATCTAGTGGAAAAAAACAACAAACAACAACAACAACAACAACGAAAAAAATTTTCCTGATTGTTGAATCCAAAGAAAAGAGAATGACGATAAAGAGAGAATAAAAATGTAATTCAAATCAATTGAAGCAAACACTAACAACCAACGACGATGATGATGATCAACCATCCGTTAATAATTGACACAAAAAAATGGATAAATTGGGCCTTGCAAAAAAAAATTTTTTTTTTTTATAAAACTTGACTCAAATAGAATGAAAAGAATAGGAAAAAAAAGTAGTAGATTTCAATGATCAACATGGGTACATTTTCTTTGTCTTGGTTTTCTGAACTGAATAAATACCCTGATTAGAAGAAATTTGACTATACTACAATGGTGATAGATATATCAATTGAAAGGAGAAAAAAATAACAATCGGTGGATCGATTATCCTGTTTTGATTTAAAACGAAACGAAACAAACCAAAATGATGATTTTCATTTCTGTATGGCCAGAAATCAATCAAATCGATAAAATCTGATTGATTTTCTAAAGATTATGGATATAGGTGATGACCGTGATGATGATGATGATGATCCAATTATAGTTATTTATTTTTTTTTTGTTTGTTCTACAAGTGCAACTTTAACTTTTTCATTTCAACAACATTGGCTGAAGGAGTTATTTTGGTTATTTTTTGTTCGGTGGGTGAAATGAACAGAAAAAAAAGAAATTCCAAATGCTAATTTTTAAGGTGTTTCAATGATCATTATATTTATTTATGTTGTTGCCAATCATTCAAGCGATAACAAAGTTTATGTTTCGAAGAACAAAAAAAAATTTTGCAACCTTTTATAACAATGGAGAAAAACGAAAAACCAGAGTTCTTTTCTTGGTGCAAGATGAATTGAATTGAATATCGAGAAAACAAAACAAAAACAGAAAAAAATATGGACTTGGGTGCCAAATACACCAGATTTTCTCTATAGAGAATTGAGCATCAAAAAAAAAAGAAATGAACGGCCCATGGCCAGTCAATAGTTTTGTTCAAGTGGATTCAATTTTTTTTTTGTTGTGACCAGTGCAGAAAAAATATGAAAATGAAAACGAAAACGCAATACTAAATGCATACTCGATAATCACAACACGATTATTATTTCATTCATATGGTGATGATCATTATCCATCTAAATTTCAAAATACTGAAAAAAAGCAAGTTTGGTGCTACAAAGAAAGAAAGAATGAATGAAAAAAAAGTTCAAAAGTTATCATAAATAACATACACAAGTGGTTCAGTTAATATAAATACAATTAGCAGTTGTTGTTGTTGTCGTTGTTGTTGTTGTTGTTGTTGTTATTATTATTCCAGTCACACTAATGAAAATTATTATTAGAGCCATATAGAAATGGATGAAAAAAAATTTTTTTTTTCAAGTGGCCATATTATGATCAGATTAATTCAGATTGAAAATCCAAGTCATCAAATGTCAAATGGATCGATATATGTGATTTTGGATGACAAAAGAAAAAAAAGAGAGAGAGAGAAAAAAGAATGAAATGTGCGCTTTTCAAGTCTAAAACTAATAATATATACCTTTATATATATTGTCGAAGAATCAAATTTACTTTATTTTTTTCAAATCAAAAAAAAAATCTCAAACAAACAAACAAACAGAAAAAAACGAACAAATTGAAAATGATTTAAATTCGTTCCGAGTTTAAAAAACAGAAAAGACACTTGAAATCATGGCTGTTTTTTATTGTTGTTGTTGTTGTTGAAAAATTGAAATCCCAAAAAAAAAAATTTGTCCAACAAACAAAATAAAAAGACCCAAGGATCAAAGATGTGTGTGTGTGTGTGTATGTTTGTTTGTATTGATGATGATGATGGCAAGGGCCATTCATTGCATGAGAGAAATACAAATATATCGTATACACTCATCATACAGAATTTGTCAACATAGAAATCTTTTTATTATCGATATAATAACGGTATAGTATTGATTTCGTTTCGATTTGTTTATTTGAATCGGTAAATATATGGTGTGGTGGCGTGGAATATTTTTTTCTATTGCAAGAATAAACAACTCTTCACCACAACAACAGCAGTTTTTTACACCATTTGATGGACATTTTCCATCATGTTCGATTTTATATGATGTGAATGTAAATATTCAGTTTTTTCAATCAAAAAAAAAATTTTTGTTTTGTTTTGTTTCATAGAATCTTTTTTATTGCATAAAATTAATGGGGAAAAAAAAATTTTAAATAATAAAAATAGAATTGCGTAAATAAGAAAAAAATAAATCAAAAATACACATAAGAAGAATATATAATTAGAAGATTCAACACACAAACACAGTGTTAAAATAATAATAATAAGAAAAGATTAATTAATAATCCACATGTAGTATTGATTTGAATATATTTGTTTGTTTGTTTCATATTATCAAGTACGTATTATATAGTAGCCTAGTATATATGTTTTTTCATCTATCGAATAGTTATATCTTCATTACATCACATGATAATTTTTTTTTCTTGCTCAAAAAAAATCAATAAATCATATCATCATTGAACTTTTGAATATGTTCGATGATATTTTTGATTAATATCGGTAATATAATAAGTACCGGCCATTAATGATGAAACATCACCAGTAGGTTCATATGGTGCAATATTATGTGTCTTTTCACGAAGATTCAATGTTTCTTCGAATTTTGTTGGTGGCACACGTTGTCGTTGTTGTAATCGTGGTTGAACATCGGTCAAACCTTTCATTAATCGTGATAATATTGCTTTATCTTTTGTTACACGTGCCGAAAACATTGATGCAGCCAAACCAGAACCATAGGAAAATAGCAAAAGGCGTTTGTCAGTTAGATTTTCCACTGAATCACTGAATAATGAGCAAGAATAAGAATTTAAGCAATCAATATGATGAGTACTGATAATACATACCTGAGAATAAAGGAAATAACACAAGCATAAAGGGATGCCGTATACATGTTACCAATTTCACGAGCCAACATTAAACTTGGATCAGTACGTTTGTTGAAATTCTCCGAACTCAATGTAAGCAACAATTTTTCCATTTCACGATCATTATACGATTCTTCCAGTTTAACATTCCTACAATAATAAGAAATCAGATAAATTTCTGTACTTGATATATTACTATTATTACAAACCTATATTTCTCTAATTTTGTATCGAATCGACTTGGATCATGTGCTTGTAAGCGAAGATTGTTGAGCAAATGCATACGTGCCACCGATTTTTGTACTAATTTACAATAAGGTGCATGAAAAATGATTCCATCAAAATGGCTTAATTCGATCATCGATTGTTGTTCAGAATGATTGTTATGGTTCAGCAATTCATCTCGATTACGATTGGCCTTATCGAAATATAAATTAAAACATTGATCCAATGCTTGTAGATAGCATTGATTAGATAATGGGCCATCAACGTATGGATATTCCGATGAGAGATCTGGCTTATAAAAATCATAAACATTGGCCATATAAGTGGAACGAACTTTACGATCCAAAACTATTGCTGCATTTGGCCCGATCAACATTGCAACGGCACCACATCCGCCTATGGTTGATTGATTTGAATAAAATAATCAGAAAATAAAAAATCACGATTTCAATGCGTGTGAACTTACCGGTAGGTCTAGCTGCACCGCTAGCATAAACAGCAATATCGGCCGCAACAACCAATGCATAACGTCCATCCCAACTACTTGATTCAATCCAATCGATTGCATGAAACAACGAAGCGGTACCACCATAACATGCATTCGTAGCATGGATACCTTCAATATCGGTATTTCCACTATCTTTAAACAAATCCATCAATACAGTTTTGATGCTTTTCGATTTATCAATAATCGTTTCGGTACCAATCATAAGGAAACCAATATCCACCGGTGAAATTTGATATTTTTTCAACAAACTTTCCGTAACCGTCAAACAAATTGATGATATATCTTCACGATCATCGGTGAAACCCATTTTTAATTGGCCAAGACCAATGGTATATTTACCTTTGGATACGCCATTAAATTCTTCTAAATCAGTTTGATCAACATATGATGATGGAAAATAAATATCCATTGCAATGATGCCAACATTCTCTGGCCATTTACATCCATTCGTAGCTGCTGCTGCTGATGATGATGATGATGTTCCATTTTGAATTTGATTCACAGGCATTTTGATTCGATTTATTTAATTTTATGACAATGATTTCAAAATACAATAGCAAATACAATTATATAATACGAAACGGTGTACAAAATGTTCAAAATCAGATGAAAACGATGGACTCTGTAAAATAAATAAAAAAAAAAAAAAAAAATAGACGAAATGTGAAAAAAGAATGAAAACAAGAAAAATTAATTTTCAAACACACACTGGACAAAATTGTCGCTGGTATTCATATATATATATACAAAATTCAAATCAAAATCTTTTTTTTTCTTTCTTTCATTGATTTTTATGGAATTTCTTTATTGAGAACAACAAAAAAAAATGGTAATAATCATCATTAAATGATCGATCAAATAGATCTTTAATTTACTCGACATTTATTTCTTTTTCTATTTTGTTTTGGCTGAAAAAAAGAATGAAATGAGGAAAAAAAAAGAAAAAATGTCAAAAAGAAATCATCACCGCTCGTATTCATACGAATGGAATGATTTCTGATGATGATGGTTAATTCTTTGCCGTAGTCGTCGTCGTCGTCGTCATAATGTACATGATGATGATGATCGTCAATAAATGGTAGAAAAAAAAATCACAACCAGATTTGGACTGATATGACGTCATCATCATCATCAAAAATCTCATATAAAATGAAATAAGTTTTTTTTTGTTGCACTAAATAATTATCACATGAAATGTGAGAAAAAAAAATTTTTTTAAAAAAAACCAGGAACAAATACACACACAAAAAAAATGAAAACCTAAAGAATTAAGATAAACTAATAATATAAAATATCCTTGATGATTCGGCAAAGCACAACAACATCAGATAAACAACATACACACACACACAATGAAAATTCATACCATAAGTATCATCAACATTTAATAATAATGTTAACAGATGATGATAATAATATGAAGAACATTACTTTTTTTTCTGGAACACGCACACACACTTGCACACACATTTACCACAATTGTGGTCAAACAAAAAAAAAAAAAATGATTCAAGATGGACAATCAATTTTTTTTTGCAAAAGCTAGCCGTGTGTGTGGTGGTGATCTCCTTTTTCTCAAAATGATGTTGTTGTTGATGATGATGATTTTTTCATCATAAAAACTGAATTTTTATTGTATGCTATTTGATTTTTTCTTTCTTTCTTTTTTTTTCCTTGTATCCCCCCCACCTGTGTTCACATCATCATCATATTTATTAAACAACAACAACAACAACAAGTGCATCATGGTACACACACAGCAACTAGTTCATAACCAACAAGAGAGGGATAGAGAGAGAAAAAAAAATTGGAGAGGATAAAGCCAAAAAAAAAAACTTGTAAACACACACACACACTATACTACAACAACAACAACTAATATTTGGATACCTTGTTTATTTTCTTCTTATGCATCTCATCTCTATCTATTTATTTATCTATCTATTTTGTTTACACCGGTAAAAAAAAAAAAAATAGGAAAAGAAAATAAAAAACCCGATTTGGCAGCCTTGATTACACACACATAACCAGTGTCATCTTCTCTCCTGAATTTATTTATTTATTTGGTTGGACATCACCGTCATAAGGGGATGATAATGATGGTGGTAATCGTACGATCTTTTTTTTTAAGAAAAAAAACCAGTAAATAGCATCATCATCATCATCATAATATATATAATTCTTGAGAAAAAAAAAATATAAAATGGAAAAAAATTTCTTAATTTTGAATGAGCCCAAAAGGCAAGAAAATCAAATAAAGACAAAAAAGTCGGTCGTTCAGTTGCTTAGGTCATATGATGATGGGCAAACTAGATTTTTTTTTCATTTCTGATTTTTCTCGGTTATTAGACGTGGACTTTAAACAGCAACAGCAAATCGATTCGCCATTTTATAAACAATAATAATATACATACACATAATTGGTTTATGTATGTATACAATTGATGGTGGATGGTGGTGGATGTTCGAAAGAGAACCTGTTCTCTTCTTTTTTCATCATTTTGTTTTATATACATCATCCACGTTCTATTCGTTTGTAATCAGATCATCATAGACAAAACCGAAAAAAAGAAGAAGAAATGATGGCTGTAAAAAACATTGGCAAGATGAGTAGTATAATATATCCAATGCAAAATTTATTTATGTTTACTGAATTTTAAATGATATATGATTCATTTGATTCGATAAACAACAAACCTTGTGTGTATTTATTAAAAATTTAATTGCAATCAATTCTGTTATTTTGTTAAGAAATACAAATACAAATAGAAATATTACTTACCCAAATAGTAATTTTTTTTCCTAGAGAAATTAATGAAATGTGTGTGTGTTAATAAATATATACTATTAGTGATTGATGGTCATGACGTGTTTGTGTTGATGGATTCGAATCGGATGATGATGATGATGATCATGATCATCATCATCATGACTGTCTATATTGCATTGCCATGATTACCATTCAAATCATGATGATGACTAATAATAATTAAACAATTTGATTGATCAGAATGAAATCGAATGATTATGAATGACTATAATAATGATATATATATAGATTTACAATCTAAGAATCATCAAGAAAAAGAGAGTACAATACCAAAATTCTGAACAATATGGTTCTTGTTTGATTTTCAAAATTAATATTTTAAGATTAAACGTTTTCACCGGCTTCTAGATATTGTTGTTGATTCTTAGATCTTTTGTTGTTGCACATTTGTTGTTGTTGTTGTTGTTATAATAGATTTACACAATAAACAATACAATCCATCGCTAAAATCGAACAGCCGATTTTAATGACACAACATCTATGAATGTGTTTTGTCTTGATGTTGCCATGCTGCTTGCTTGCTTGCCATCAAACAAAAGACTAAAGGCGTGTTTTTTCATCCAGAATCATCATTTGATTATTATTCGCATTTTTTCACCATTCATTCATTTAATATTTCAGTGATAATCTTTTCGGAACGTAAAAAATAAAAAATAAAAACAATCAAAAATGGCCATGTCAGTACCAAAAGCTCCCGGCTTTATGTCGATGATGAAAGAGGGTAGCCGTTATTATGCCGGTGTTGAAGAATCATGTTTACGAAACATTGAAGCATGTACGGAATTCGCCATGACATTCAAATCATCATATGGACCACGTGGTCTAAATAAAATGATTATCAATCATTTGGACAAATTATTCGTTACAACCGATGCAGCAACCATAATCAACGAATTGGATGTAAATCATCCAGCTGCTAAACTCATTGTTCAAGCTTCACAAATCATGGAACATGAGGTATGATCAGGAATTTTTTTTTGTTCCAAATCGTTTAAATTTTTTTTCATTCTTTTATAGATTGGCGATGGAACTAATTTTGTCATCCTTTTAGCTGGAGCTCTATTGGAAAACTCGGAAGAATTGATTCGTTTAGGCTTAAAACCAACAGAAATCATTGATGGCTATAATTTAGCTGCACAGAAAATCCTTGATGAATTTCTACCTACCGTTGTCGTTGGTGAAGTCAAAGATCTAACTAACGTTTCGGATATACGAAAACCAATTAGAACAGCATTGATGAGTAAACAATATGGTAATGAAGATTTTCTTGCTGATTTGGTCATCAAAGCTGCCCTTTCTGTTTATGATCGAGAAAGTGGCTATTTCAATGTTGATAATGTTCGTGTATGTAAAATTCTTGGCTCAGGCATTGAAAGTTCACAGGTGATCAATGGAATGATATTTAAAAAAGCTGTTGAAGGTGATGTTACAGCCGCGAAGAATGCCAAAGTTGTTTGTTACACATGTCCAGTCGATGTACAGGCAACTGAAACCAAAGGAACTGTTTTGATAAAAACAGCTGAAGAATTGAAAAATTTTAGCAAAGGTGAAGAGAATGTACTTGAATCCCAGATCAAAGCGATTGCGGATTCTGGTGCCAAGGTGATTGTTTCTGGTGGCAAATATGGTGATCTAGCCTTACATTACATCAACAAATTCGGCATGATGGCTGTCCGTTTGCATTCGAAATATGATCTTCGCCGTCTTTGTCAAACCGTAGGTGCTACAGCTTTGACCAAATTAATCGCTCCAACAGCTGAAGAACTTGGCTCCGTTGATGCTGCTTTTATCGAAGAAATTGGTGGTACCAGTGTGGTTATTTTTGAACAAGATTTAAAAGCCACAAAAATCTCTACCATTGTTATTCGTGGTTCAACGGATAATCTAATGGATGATATTGAACGAGCCTTAAATGATGGCCTCAATACATTCAAAGTATTAACACGTGATGGTCGATTAGTAGCTGGTGCTGGTGCCTGTGAAATTGAATTGGCACGTAAAATTTCCGATTATGCTGAAACATTGCCCGGATTGGAACAATATGCAGTTGGAAAATTTGCTGAAGCTCTACAAAGCTTACCAGTTGTAATTGCTCAGAATGGTGGCATTAATCAACAGGATATATTATCATTACTATTGTCATCACATCAAGAAGGCCGACACACCGATGGTGTCGATATTGGATCGGATTCTGCTGCCGTACAGAATAGTATAACGAATTCAATAATGGATTTGTATCTAGCCAAATATTGGGGCATTAAATATGCATCACAAGTGACTAGCACCATATTACAAGTGGATCAGATTATCTGTTCGAAACCAGCCGGTGGACCTAAACCACCACAACAACAAGGCCATTGGGATCAGGATTAATAATTGAATGAATCTAATTTTATATCTCAATGAATGAATGAATGAGTTAATCTGCTTAAATTTTTACAAAATTGATTGATTTTTCAAATAAATAAAAAAAAAAATTATTATTATTCTAAATCCAATAAAAAAACGCCATCTTGAGTTAAAAAAAATGTAACAGTGTACCCGATGCTCAATGACACTCCTAATAAAAATTCAATTACAGCGCCATCTACTTTTATTGTTTACTTTATTTTTAGATTTATATGAAATCTATCTATTACAATGATTAGTAGATTTTATATATTTAGTGCTCATTTTAAACGACGACGTCTAAATCAGCAAGTTGTTGTTGTTGTTATTGCAATCATTCGATTGTTAAATACATTTTCAAACTTGTAATCGATCACATCATTTTTTTCTCTCTCTGTCTTGAATTTTTTTTTCTTATTATTGTATATCACAATACGAAACGGACTATTCAAAGTCTGAATCATCACATCAACATTATGGAATTTCTTGTAGCCATACCATTGAAAAAAACATACGAAGTTGATTTGGTTAAATACCTAAAGGTATCGATCAATGCTCAATATGGCAATGTTGATGAAAAATCTAAAGATAATCTTGAAGTGATGAATCGAATGCGAAACAATGCTACATCAATGACACTCCTAATAAAAATTCAATTACAGCGCCATCTATTTTTGATTGTTTACTTTATTTTTAGATTTATATGAAATCTATCTATTACAATGATTAGTAGATTTTATATATTTAGTGCTCATTTTAAACGACGACGTCTAAATCAGCAAGTTGTTGTTGTTGTTGTTGTTATTGCAATCATTCGATTGTTAAATACATTTTCAAACTTGTAATCGATCACATCATTTCTCTCTCTCTGTCTTGAATTTTTTTTTCTTATTATTGTATATCACAATACGAAACGGACTATTCAAAGTCTGAATCATCACATCAACATTATGGAATTTCTTGTAGCCATACCATTGAAAAAAACATACGAAGTTGATTTGGTTAAATACCTAAAGGTATCGATCAATGCTCAATATGGCAATGTTGATGAAAAATCTAAAGATAATCTTGAAGTGATGAATCGAATGCGAAACAATGCTACATCACGTAATATTGAATCTAGCCAAGAGACTAGCTTGGAAATCATTGAAAAGTGAGTGTCAATTTTTTGAATGTACATTTTTTGCCATTTTTAATAATTTGTAAACTATCCACCCTAATATAGATATTATGATCAATTGGTTCTATTGAATAACAAACTACCGCAAGCAAACGTTCCATTCAAATGGAAAGATGCATTCGAAAAGGGTGGCATCTTTTCATCGTCCTCAATGACCGTATCAAATCTCAGTTTTGAAAAAGTTTGCATCATGTTCAACATTGGAGCTTTGATGAGCACATTGGGTGCTTATTATTGTAAAGAAGGTGCATTCAATGATAATTCATTGAAACAGGCCATCAAACATTTTCAAGGTGCTGCCGGCATTTTCCAAGCGCTGAAACATACTACTTCATCATCATCTGATGGTAATGAGCTTACATTTGACCTACAAACAGAAGTGTTAAACATGTTACAGCATATGATGTTGGCACAGGCTCAAGAAGCGTTCTTTTTTAAAGCCTACAATGATGGTATGAAAGAAAATTCCGTTGCCCGAATTGCCGCTCAATGTGTTGAATTCTATGGTGAAGTTGAAAAACAAATTCAATCGATAAATTTCAAAGATAAATCATTTCTACCAGAATGGGTGGATATTATTATTCAGAAACATAATGCCTATAAAGGCGTAGCCGAGTACTATCAGGCTATGGTCGCTAAAGATAAAAAAGAATTTGGTGAACAAATCACTCGGTTGACGAAAGCTTTGGAATTTTTTAAATCAGCTGAAACTCGTGTTGCGATTAGTATGGCCGAAAAATTCAAAGATATTGTGAATAAAGCTACACTTGCATTGGAAGAGGTGAAACGTGATAATGATTTCATTTATCATGCACGAATACCAGATTATAAATCTTTACCAACAATATCGAAAGCTTTGTTAGCCAAATCTACTGAACTACCTAATCTTTTCTTCCCTAATGAATCTGACCTATTCGTTAATTTGTTGCCACTGGTCATGCATCAATCGATATCACGATTGGAGAATCGTAAACAAGAACTAGTTAATGGTGAAATTGGCCAATTACGTGATATGACACAAACATTGAGCGGAATTCTTGCATCGCTCAATTTGCCTGCAGCCATTGAAGATACACAAGGTGTCGAAGTGCCAAAATCAATAGAAGAAAAAGCGACCGCTATACGTCAAAAAGGTGGTATTGAAGAAATTAATCGTTTGATTAATGAATTGCCGGATTTGTTGAAACGAAACCGTGAGATATTGGACGAAATCGAACGATCGTTGAATGCTGAAGAGGAAAGTGATAGCAAGCTACGTGGCCAATTCAAAGAAAAATGGACCAGAACGCCATCAAACAAATTGAATCAAACTTGGCGCTCACATATTTCGAAATATCGAACAATCATCGAAAAAGCTATTGAAGCGGATAAAAAGCTCAAAGTTAATTATGATAGTAACATTGAGAAAATCAAATTGCTTTCAAGTCCAGCAACTGCTTTGGCTTCAGCTATTCCTTCCAATCAGGCTAGTGGTTCATCCGTTGATGATTCAGCAGTACAATCATTACGACAATTGATGATACAGGTGGATGCTTTGAAACGTGAACGTGAATCACTTGAAAATGAATTGAAAAACATTGAATTTGAAGAATTACGTAAACAATTTTTGAACTATTTAAATGTCAATACTGGTGTTGATGAAACGTCTGTTGCTGCAGAAGTGATCGGTAGTGCATACAATGAACTTCAGAAAAAAGTTCGTCAAAGTAAAGAGAAACAGGAACGATTAATAACGGAAATTCAAGAAGCGAATCAAAAATTTGTCGTTCAACGTGGTTCAAGTGGTTCGAAACGAGATCAATTTCTTAAGGATTGTGCCGCCGCTTATGAAGCTTATACACAACTATTATCGAATCTGAAAGAAGGCAACAAATTCTACAATGATCTTACCCAATTATTGGTTAATCTTCAAGTCAAAGTGAATGATTTCTGTTTTGCTCGTAAAGCTGAACGTGAAGAACTGTGCAAAGATTTACAAAACGATATCGTATCCAAGCCAAATGATCCAGTACCTAAGATTCCTGATTATCAGAAGCCTGATAGTGGCAGTTCGTCATCAGTGCCACCGGCAGCACCATATCAACAATTTAATCCATACCAGGCACCTGGTTACAATTACTATCCGCCACCACCATTACCACAAGGATTCAATCCATTCGTGATGCCACAACCACCACCAGGTTATTTGAATAATTTCATTTACTTTTTTTGTTTTTGTCTAATTCTCTTTTTTTTGATTTTTTAATTAACAGTTGCTTATTATCCGGCACCGAATTATCAATATCCACCACAAGGTGGTCATCCACAGCCGGGCAGTTATCCATACCAACCACCATCATCATAATTCTCGATTCAGTTTTGGTCACGTTTGTTGGTGTGCCTTTTTACGATTATTTTAATACAAGAAAAAAACTAACAACAAGGAAATACTGTTTTCGTTTTGTTCGATTTCTGTATTATTCTGGATATATACTTCTCTCAAGATTTACTATCAAAACGCAACTCATTGTTTTTGGTGGTCGGACCATTTTTCTAATATTTCAAAAAAAAAAAATTTTTTACGCCTTTTCACATGTTTCTCCAATAGTTTATCTCTCGATCAAATTATTGGTCTTTCTAGAAAAGGATGACATAACCCATGTACCATTTTGAAAACCATTGGACGACATTCAGGTGGACATACCGGTCTTACTCGTCTATCACCAACATGACACCACAATTTTACATCAGAAAATTCCAATGTTTTCAACTGATCGCGATACTCAGTTAAAATTCCATTCATAAACGACGTATTCTTGATTTGAGAATCCGCGATAGTTCGTATTGAAAATGGTTCAACGTTTTCAACTTCAATACGTGATAATGTATCGGCTACAACATTTGACGATCCAGCAATATATTGAAAATCATTCGTAAATTCTAAGATATACATCATCATACGTTGCTGAATTGATGTTCTTTTCTGATTCGTACGAACTGTCAATGCATTTATCAATGGTTTATGGTCAGTTAATACGGAAAACGACCGACCTTCTAGAACATAATCAAAATGAATAATTGATTTGTACACGGCGAGCAATTCTTTATCAAATGTACTGTAATTTCGTTGAGCGTCATTAAGTTTCTTTGAATAGAATCCGATCGGTTGCTTGGATCCGTTACGTAAAACTTGTTCAACTACACCACCAATAGCTACATCACTTGCATCTGTTACTAATTGTAACTTGGCATTTGGATCGATACAAGCTAATTTTATTTTCTGCTTGAGAGCTTCTTTAATTTCGATGAAGTCTCGTTCAGCATTTGCATTCCACGTAAGATCATTTGAATCACAATTCTTTTCGAGATCATGTAGTGATGCCATTAATTTTGCTGCGCCTGGTATGAATCTCCGATAAAAATTTACCATACCTAGGAATCGTTTCAATGACTTTTTGGATGTCGGTTTTGGAAATGAATCAATAACCGTTAACTTTTCTTCAAGCATACCAATACCATCGGGGGAAATTTCATGTCCGAGGTATTTTACTTTCTCTTTGATGAATATACATTTATTCTGATTAATGGTTATACCATTATCATTCAATTGTTTCAATACTTTGTCTAGATCGGTGATTGCTTTTTCTTTATCTTCCGAAGCTATAAGAATGTCATCCAGATACACGAATACATTATCAAATTCACGAAAAATTGAATCGACAAATCGTTGATACGTAGCTGGTGCATTGATTAAACCGAAAGGCATCCGTGTATATTCGAACAAACCCCACGGTGTTGTCATCGCCGTCTTTTTACAATCATTTTTCGCCAACGGAATTTGCCAATATGCCGTTTTCAAATCAATTGTCGTGAATATTTTCTTCCCATTCAAATTCGCCGAAAAATCGTGTATGTGATGAATTGGATAACGATCAGGAACTGTTTTGGCGTTCAACGCTCTATAATCACCACAAATTCTCGTTGTTCCATCTTTCTTCGGCTGTATTACCATTCTACTTGCGTAACTGGATGAAGATGGTCTAAGGACACCCATCTTAACCATTTGCATAATCTGCTCTTTAGCGGCAGTAGCTCTAGCCATTGACACACGCGCTGGTCGTGCGAAAATAGGCTGATCATCTTTCAATACGATATGGTGTTCAACGTTATGTTTAATGTCCAGCGATAAATTTGGTTTACAAACATCAGGATACTTTTGTAACAATAGTTTGACTTTGTCATCCAAATTATTACCAGAGATCATCGTGATATGACGTATGTCTGCTACACGTTTATGACCTCTAATCGAAAATTTTGTCACATTATCAATCAATTTGTTTCTTCGAATATCCGGCAATAGATCATATTTTGATAAAAAATCGGCACCAATAATGGGATATTCGACATCAGCTACAACGAACGTAAATGGAAATGATCGCCGTAGATCTAAATCAGGTTCATAAAACGTTTCACCATAATTATTAATTTTGGTACCATTAGCTGCTATAAGATCGTAATTTGTAGGTTTTGATATGATAACTTTAGCTGATTTCGGCCATATGGATATTACCGAACCAGTATCTATTAAGATCCAACGTTTTGATTTATGGTCAAATACGAATAACCGATAACAATCGCCATCGATAGAAAATCAAAGCTAAATATATTGCAAATTAACTTTTCATTAAATCGTATATATTTCTTTGTTATCGTTTAACATCGTTACAATGGAAATAAAATTTTTTATAAAATTGATTAAAAACGTTTTGAAAATTCAAACACCAATAAGTGATATCATTGACTACGTTTATTCAACTGAGTCTTCCAACTCAAGTTATAATTGGCTAATCATTAATGACGTTATCACGCCACCACAAAAGCTAAATATATTGCAAATTATATTATTAAAATATTTAAATCTTGAATGTGGAAATAAAATTTGATGATTGAAAGGAATTGGAAATTCAAACAACAAAATCAATCAGTCTTCCTACAAGTTATAATTGAGACAATTATAGTAGAATTATATTATATTATTATTATTACTATTTGTTATAATAATTAGAGTCCACCACCAGAAGAAGTGTCCCCAAATACATATTCTTTATAAGTTTTGTTCATTTGTTCCAAGAAAATGAACGTTAAAACTGTATGTGGACCTAATCGAGCATAGTACGGTGTAAATCCTTTCCATAAGGCGAATAAACCTTCGTTTCGAATTACTTTTGTTAAAACATCCTGAATAAAAGAAAATAGTTGACAATTATTGAAATGGAAAAAAAATTGAAATTGAAAAATAAAATAAAAACACTTACGATTGCACCAGTGTATTCGGGTTTTCCATTAATAGTTTTCATACTTTGAATTCGAGTTTTGGCTACAAAATAAAAATAAAATTGATAAATCAAAGATTTCTATGTTAAAAAAAAATACTGACCAATATCAACCGGCATAGAAGCGGCAGTGGTTATCAATCCAGAAATCATAGATGCAGCGAAATGGCAACCAATATTATCTCGAAAATATGATGTGGACAATAAAAATTGTTTGGCTTGTGAATATGAAGCTAATTGAGCAGCATTTACAACCATTGCACGGCCCATTGTTGGTATGCAACCACGCCATAATGTTAAAACACCTTCTTCACGAGTGATACGGATAAGTGCATCAAAAACACTTTTATAACCACGACGATCAGCAAGCGGTAAACGACCATCAGATGTCATACGAATAAGTGATACTTCGGCTGGTGTACCGAAAAAAGCACCAATCGCTCCGGCTGTCATACCAAGACCGGCTTTAATGAAAAAACCTGGTGGTTTTCCTTGACCATATTCACGACTATACCAATCGAACAATGATGTATAAACACCCATTCGAACGGTAGTATATGATGCCTGTCTTAAAAGGCCAGCCGATAATCCAGCATAAAGGCCAGTGATGCCTTCATTTTTCACAACTGCCCGTAATACATGGATACTGGTCTTGTGTTCTTTGGCTTTTCCTCCAACGCCTGTTTGGTGTGAAATATGATAATTGTTACTAAAATCCGAAATAATTGAATCAAACAACGAAAAAAACCTACCACTCAATTGCATACGATTTTTCACCAAATCTAATGGTTGAACAAAACATGTAGCAGCCATACTATGATCGAAGAATTAAAAAATTGTGTTAATTAAATCTATCACCATGATGACAAAATCAAACAAAACAAAACAAAAAATACCCGGCTGTTCCACCGAAAATAAATTTGACCACATTTGGAATCTGTTGTGATGAAGATTTATCCGTTGAAGCCATTGAATTGTATATATATGAAATATAAAATTTGTATAATTGAGTTTCGATGAATAAAACAAAAATAAAATAAAATGAGCGGTTTGAATTTAATGAAATTTAAGAATTCGAAGATTTTTATACTATAGTATACTATACAGTTAATATGATCAAATCAAATCACATATATGTGAGAGAGGATATTGAGAAGGACATTTATCAATGTTTTGATTTCATAAAACTGTTGTGTTGTGAATAGAAACAACACACCGATCATCGATGTATAACATTGCCAAACCATCAAAACAAGCCAGCGCATCATTTCCTCAGTAAAAATTTTTTTTTTTTTGTTACATTATCTTAGTCATTATTATTATGTGTACATATTTGTGGCTCTCAAAAGAAAAAGATTTGAAAATAGTTTCAACATAAAATTGACGCAAATAAAAAAAAAGATCCTCAAAATTTGATCATTAACACCGCGAATGCCTGTTAATAAAAAACGTGACATTCGCGTGAGCCAAATTATAATAATGATGATGATAGCGCCATGTCAATTTTTTTTTCGTATTTTCGATTTTGATTCAGATATAAATCAAAATTATGGTTAAATTAAAGCAATTAAGACCTCGTTGTTTTTTTGACATTTCGATTGATGGAAAAAATGGTATGTATATTTGATTTGTTTCTAAAGATTTGATTTCTTACGTCATTTTACTATTTGATATTTAATTATTTGATTGATGATTGATGATAGCCGGTCGAGTTATATTCGAATTATTCAATGAAAAATGTCCTAAAACATGTGAAAATTTTAAAGCACTTTGCACTGGCGAAAAAGGTATCGGACAATTAACCGGAAAACCTTTACATTATAAAAATGTTAGCTTTCATCGTATAATCAACAATTTTATGATACAAAGTGGAGATTTTTCCCAAAACAATGGTAAAGGCGGTGAAAGTATATTTGGTGGAACATTCAAAGATGAATCATTTGATTTTAAACATGAACGTCCATTTCTATTGTCCATGGCAAATCGTGGACCAAATACGAATGGATCTCAATTTTTTATGTAAGTTCAAGTGATAACAGATAATCAATAATTTATAGATTAATTTGATTCATTTTTCTGTAGAACTCTTGTACCAACACCACATCTTGATGGGTAAGTTTCAAATGTTTTTTCTTGCCTCTTATTTATTGCTTATCATGAAAACTTTTGAATAAATAGCGTACATGTTGTATTTGGTCATGTAATTGCCGGTCAGGATGTTGTAATGAAAATCGCACAGCAATCTGTTGATAAACAAAGTCGTCCCATAGTACCAGTTTGTATTTCAAATTGTGGTGAATTAGTTCCACAAATCAAACCAAAAGAGAAGACTCTATCAGTGGATAAACAAAGTCATAAAAAACGACGAAAACATAGTGATGAATCCGATACGAGTGGTGATTCGGATAGTGATTCAAGTTCAAACAGCAGTAGTAGTAGCTCTGAATCTGATGATGATTCTTCGTCAAAAGAAAAAGATAAAAAACAAACTACAAATCCTGTCGAGAAGAATCCTGATAATACAGAAATCGAACAAAACGAAAACAGTATTTCTTTATTGTAAGTTTTTCCTTATTACCACTTTCAATTTCATTAATAGTTTTTATACAATTCCATTTTCTAGTAATCCAAAATATTCAGTTCGTATTGATCCAGAAGAAATACCTGAAATACCACAGAATCGTTTTCTTCACCGAGGTATACGACAATCTCCTTCGATCCTTGATGATGCGATAACTAACAAAGAAAAAGAGGATTCCAATAAGAATCGTTCACAATCATCTAATTATCGTAATGATCGATCCTATGGACGACGTATTATATACACTTCTTCGGGACGAAAAATCAAAGGTCGTGGTTCGATTCGATATCGTACACCATCACCTGATGATAATGGTCGATATAGCAGAAAATCTTCACGACAATGGCGTAGAAGTGAAACACCACCATATTGGCGTGCTGAACAGGCCAAACTTCGACCATGGAAACAGATAATGTCTGCTAAGAATAATTCAAAAGAACAGCGGCATTCGAATGATAAAGTCGTAGGCGAAGTTCGCGTTCACGTTCGTATGAACGACACGATCGTCGTCATCATCATTATCATCATCACGAGAATAGAAATGATGATGATAATAATCGGTCGCACAGAAAACATCGAAGTAGCGATCATCATCATCATCATCGTCGTTCAAGAAGTTCAAGTCCAGCAAAGTATAGAGATCGAAAAATTGATGAAAATAGTATTCAGAAAAGAAAATTTCGAGAATTTCCATCACCACGGTCATCATATTCTCCGGAAAAACGCAATTCCATTTCGAAACATAAACCATCACGAAAATCATCGAAAGAGAAAGAAAATCGACATGATCCACAAAGTGAATCAAATAATAATAATACTCATCGACGAATTATCGACGACAACAAACGAAAAGATGATTGATAATAATTCGACAAAACGATAAAAATTGAAAACCTAAATTTATTCATTTTTTTGAAAAAAATGATGCATTCTTTAGTTGTATGAAAACTTTTCTGTTTTTTATAATAACCATTTTCCGTAAAGTTTTTTTTGTGTTCGCATATATTATAAATAAAAAATCAGAATTCTGAGCCAAAAATAACTATTTGGTTTTTTTTCATTTTAATTTGTTCCATTTATAAAGAGTTACACAGAAAGGTATGCGTGCCAAATTATTTTGTATTATTTTTGAAAGATAATAATCTGGTTATTGATCAAAAAAAAAAAAAAATTCGAACACACCCAAAAATACATTAAAAAAAAGGTTCGTATATTTCAAATTCAATGTGTCAAAAAAAAAAATTCTGTTTTCATTCACGATTCAAATCGGTCTCTCTCTCCCTTTCTCTCTCTATTATTATGTGTTGTTACCCCTGGATATTAAATATCATCATCATCATATATGTAATATTAGTTGACGAATGTTTTTTGTTTTCTTGAGAACGCAATTGCAGCAATTCTTGGTTTTCAATGATTTCGGTCAGGTAAACAAATGTGTGTGTGTAATACACACAATTTGGTGGTGGTGGTAACAAATCATAGGAAGAATAATTCCTGAAACGATTCGACCAAGCCCAAATAACCGTCATCATCATCATCATGATGAAATGAATGAATTTTTTTTTATTCACACACAGTGCCCTTTTTTCATTGGTGTTTTTATTTACCATTGTTGTTGATTAAATACATTTTTTTGCTAATGTGATTCTTGTTTCAACAACAAAAAGAAAAAAAAATTCTCAAAATTTTTCATTTAAAAAACTTTGATATCAAACCATTATTCGAATTTGAATCGATGCTAATAATACAAAAAAAATGTCGAATAATATTGTTCCAATCGAACAACCAAAAAGTCAAAAACCATCAAGTAAGTTTTTTTTCTCATTTAGAGAGAAAATTATTTTTTCATTTTATTTTTACAACATAGATAGTGCATTCAAGCAACAAAAATTATCTGCTTGGCAGCCAATTTTTACCGTTGGAACTGTATTACCTACATTCTTTTTAATTGGCGTTGCATTCATACCTGTCGGCATTGGTCTATTGATCTCATCATATCAAGTACAAGAATTAGAAATTGATTATACATCATGTGAAAGACGTGCTATTAATACAATACCACAAATTATTGACAATTCAACTGCAACATCAACACTTTGTTCGGAATTTCTTGCTAAAAATCCAAATGGTAATTGTAGCTGTTTAATAGATCTTGAACTTGATGCCGATTATCGTCGTGATGTATTCCTTTATTATGGCCTAACGAATTTCTATCAAAATCATCGACGTTATGTAAAATCACGTGATGATTATCAACTTTTGGGTCATTTACGTGCTGGACGTGAATGTTCACCATTCGCTCATCGTATCGATCCAATGGATGGAATATTAAAGCCAGTTATGCCATGTGGTGCTATTGCCAATAGCTTATTCAATGATACATTTCAATTGGAACGTCTTGTTGTTGATGCAAGCAATAATCCAGCATATAATGAAGTACCATTAATTAAAACGGGAATAGCATGGGCAACTGATAAGAATAAATTCAAAAATCCACCCATACCAAAAGGATCGAATAGTTTAGCACCTGCTTATAATGGTACGGTTCATCCAATCAATTGGCCACGCAATGTTTATGATCTAGATCCAAGTGATCCAAATGATAATGGATTACAGAATGAAGGTTTCATTGTATGGATGCGAACAGCAGCATTTCCAACGTTCCGTAAATTGTATGCGAGAATTCGACACGATATCAATGAAAAGGATGTCAGTTATCAGGAAGGATTACCTAAAGGCAAATATCGATTGCATATCCAATACAGTAAGCTAATAGAACTGATGATTATAAGTTATCATTTTTTTTTAATGTCTAAAAACATTTTTCTTCTCTTCCAAAGATTTTCCTGTTGCCGGATTTAAGGGTAAAAAACGATTCATTATATCGAATACATCGTGGCTTGGTGGCCGTAATCCATTCATTGGTGCCGTTTACATATTGGTTGGCATGACAGCATTATTGTTATCCGGGTTATTTCTTTTAATCCATAAGAAATTTGGTCCAAGGTTTGTAGTATTATCCATATCACCATTATTATTTTATAATAATTTATCTTATCGTTTTCAATTTTGATCATCAATTGATAATCAAACAAACAGTTCTGTAGACAATCTAAACATTACATCACAGACACCGTTCTTGAATTGATGGCTGCCGATATTGATGAGCATAACTTGTCTACTACACATCATTATTATTATCACCAACCAAATTCATTTTATAAATCATTGTCATATATAATTCTAAATCTTGTTGTATTAATCGTCCATTTATTATTGACACGTATTGGATATATATCATTCTTATTTTGTTTTTCTGTTGTTAAAATTAAAAAAAATATTTAATGAAATAAAATTAAAATTATTATTGATATTGATATATCCGGTTTGAGATATTAATCAATCAATATATATGCAGTATTTCAATCAATTCTTAATCCTCATTCAAATTTTTGAATTCAAAAAGAAAAAAAAAATTTATTTCCAAAAAAGTCTATTTGAACTATTTCAAGTTCAGTTGAGCCTAAATAGACATATATATTCTGTATTCTAAAAAAAAAAAATTCAAGAATCGTGGTCTTCTATATAAACACGTGGAACGATGGTATTTTTTTTTGTTTGATTTAGAAAAAAAATTAATTTATCAATTTTTGTCAACACCACTTGGTTATCAGAAAAAAAATTATTATTATTGTTTTCATGTCCTTTTTTTTAGATTCAATTGTTATATATTGGATTAATTTGATTAATATTGAATCTCCAAATAATGATGATGATGATCATACATAATCATTGCAATGTCAACAAATCGATTGATAGATTGATTTTTTTGTTTTGATAAAATGGCAACAACAACAACAACAACGACAACAAAAATTTTGGATGATCGATTATTATCGATACGATTATCTCTAAAAAAAAATGTGCAATCAATTTCAATCGACAATTATATAAAAAGCTGTGCAAATGAATCCATCCACTATATTTCATCATCACTTTATTTGTTGTTATTATTAATCTTGATATAACCATAGATGAATCACGAATTGTGTGTCAAGTAAGCGTTGAGCTTTTTTTGTTTTGTTTCATTTTCGATTTCATATACACATTATGTCTTGTCATTGCTATCCATCATCATTGTGCATAATAACAATTTATATTATTCGATGAGATCTTGATCCTGTTTTTTTTTATTTCATTTCAAGATATCAGAAAAAAAACCTGTATGATTAATAAGGATGTATGTGTTTTCATTCATTGTTTGCGGTTAGCTCTAAGGCTCATCTAGTGGAATCTCTTTCTCTTTTTTTTTGTCCACTAAAATACAGTTATTTTCTAGTATTCATTGCCATATATAGATAGATAATCTTTGATAAGATAACCTGTATATATTGTTACGTGTATAATTTATTTTGATTTTTTTTTATTCAGAATGGCCCAATATAATGATGTGAAAAATTTACTTGAAAAATATCATCAAGAACATTTATTACGATTCTATGATGACAGAAATACTGCCGAACAAAATCAACAACTTATTGATGATATAAATTCTGTTAATTTTCAATCATTATGTCGTCAAGAATATTTCGATAATTCCAATCAGTCCAACAAATCGATTGACGAACATCTTGAACCATTAGATGCAAGTATTCAACAAGATATTCGTCAAACATCCGCTGAACAGCTGGAACAATATCGTAAGATTGGTAAGTGATAAATTAATATGATTATTCACATGAATAAATGTCGATTGGAAAACTATAGGTCTGGAAGAAATATCCAAAGGTAAAGTGGCTGTTCTGCTATTGGCCGGTGGTCAAGGAACTCGTCTTGGTTCTAGCTTACCCAAAGGAATGTTTGATGTAGGATTGGTATCGAAAAAAACCTTGTACCAGATTCAAGCTGAACGAATCTATCGGCTACAGGAAATGGCTGGAAAATCAGCAATAATTCCATGGTACATAATGGCTTCTGAACATACCATTGAACCAACAATTGAATTTTTCAAGAAACATAATTATTTCAATTTGGATGAGAAAAATATTCGATTTTTTGAACAGGATATTATTCCTTGTTTCACATTAGATGGCAAAATTATTCTGAAAGAAACTTATAAATTGGCAAGATCACCAAACGGTAATGGTGGTTTGTATGAAGCAATCAGCAAGAAAGGCATTTTGAATGATATGCAACAACGTGGTATCGAACATATTCATGCTTATTGTGTGGATAATATTCTTGTCAAAGTGGCTGATCCGGTATTCATCGGATATTGTGCATCGAAAAATGTTGAATGTGGTGCCAAAACGGTAGAGAAAATGAATCCCGGTGAAGCGGTCGGTGTTATTTGTAAAGTTCGTGGTCGATATCAAGTTGTTGAATACAGTGAAGTTTCCAAAGAAATATCTGAACGACGTAATACGGATGGTCGATTAATGTTTAATGCTGGAAATATCTGTAATCATTATTTTACGCTCAAATTCCTTCAAGATAAAGTTCATTACGATGAACTACCATATCATCAGGCGAAGAAAAAAATTCCTTTTGTCGATAATGAAGGTAACCATGTAAAACCGGATAAACCGAATGGAATCAAATTGGAAAAATTTATTTTTGATGTATTTCGATTCGTCGAGTAAGTTTGTTTGTTTTTTCGTTTTGTTCATCTTTTTCATCATTTTGGTTTCACAAATTTGATCTTCCAGTGTGGACAAATTTGCCGTCTGGCAAGTGTTACGTGAAGATGAATTTTCTCCATTAAAAAACAATGATCAAGCAACACGTGATTCGCCAACAACTGCCCGTCTATCATTGTATAATCTTCATCAACGATATGTACTTAAAGCTGGTGGTAAAATAATCGATGGTGAGAAAGGAATTCCAGTTCCATTACTTTCAAGGTTTGTACCGTCATTTTTTTTTTTGATCTGGGAAAAAATTCATCTTTTTTTTTTTTTTACTCATGATCATATGGCGTAGTCCTGTATTAACTTCTGATAAAAGGTAATTAATTATCAATCAATTGAAAAAAACTCATTTTCTTTTTTTCTGTTTATTATATTAGCCATTATGAGAATCAAGCCATCTGTGAAATATCACCATTACTATCATATGAGGGTGAAAATTTGGCAAATATCGTTGATGGTAAAACATTGTCGACACCAGTCATGTTAAGCTAATTCAATTTGGAGGTTTTACGATTCTCAACAACAATGACAACAACAACAAAAGAAAATTAATTTTCCTTTCTACCAAAAGAATCAATGTGTGCAATCAATAACGATGATGATGATGATGATCATGAATGAAAAATAAACCTGATGTCGATTCAATGTTTATACACCTTGACATACTCTTTGAATAAGTGTGGTTAACCAAAAAAAAAAAAAAAAATTTTTGTTTTCTTCCTAATTCACTGAATAAGGAAAATGATCTCTCTGTCTACTACAGCTCAATCGTTCGATCGATCGATCGATTGATCGATCGAACGATGAATGGATGGATGGATGGATGGATGGATGAATTGATCGACCACATAGTGAACACACAAATAGGACATTATCAATCCACAGGAAAACAGGAAAAAAAAAGATTTTCTCTCATTTCAAAAAAAAAAATTTCTACATTGGTAGTGCGTTTGAAATCGAATTTTATTTATTTATTTATTTTTTTTTTCGTTGAAAAACCACCAACCACCACAACTAAGCATATATTGTGTCTCTTTTCACTAAAACGACGACGACAACAACAACAACAACAACAATGAATACAAATCATCGATATGATGAAAAATTCATTAAAAAAATTTTTTTCTCTCTCTTTTTGAAATTTGTTATCGTTTTGTATTGTGGATGGTAAAAATGAAAAGCGGAAAAAAAAATTTTCCATAAACCATCATCACCATTGAATTGTCTATAGACATACATACACACACACACAGACACAGTTATATTATTCTATTCCAAATTGGTACACAATTCGATTTGATTTTTGCCAAAAAAAAAAAAAAAAACAAAACAAAACTAGTTTGCCAACTGTGTGTGTGTGTGTTTTTTTTTCTCTCAAATTTCTTTCAACTTTCCTTATTCAATCTTTGTTTTTTTTATGATTCATTATTATTATTTGTCGTTGATATTTAGATTTGGTTGTTGTTCGATAAAAAATTTTTCATTTGTTAAACTTCTCAATTCTCATTCATTTCATTCATTCATTCACAAAAGAGATACCTGATGGCTGATTTTTTGGCAGAAAAAAAGGTCGTCTACAAAGGTTTTTTTTTTCTTTCGTCTAAACTCTTGATATGCATGATATGTAAAAGTTGCTGTTTTTTTTCATTCATTCATTCATTGAACAAGATTGAATCCATTCAACCATGATGCTGATATCTTGAATTTTTTTTTATGAACACAACACAAACACAATATTTATAATTTGCTTGTTAATAAATGCTTGCTGTTGTTGATGACGACGAAGATTTTATTTATTTATTTTTTTTTTTTCTTGATATTTAAAAAAAACGATGACAACCTAATCATAATAATAACGATCATCATTGATTTTATTATGTGACCGATAATATGTGTAATTGTCACAATGTCATTAATTAAAGGATCTATCGGAAAATGTGGATCATTCGAATTGCCGGCATATTTATTCGATCTGAACTCTCTCTCTCTCTCTCTCTCTCTCTCTCTGTGTGTGTGTGTGTCATTACATTTCGAAAAAAAATGAGAAATTCAAATGAAGAAATTTTTTAAATCATGATTATGATGATCAAATGAGGAAAAAAATTCAACGGTCAATCATCATTTCAACGATCTTGATCTTGATAATGATAAAGATCATGATGACCATCATCACTATTATTGTATTGAAACAATTTTCATTCTTCTATTACTACCTCATCCTCATTCAATGTCTATTTCTACATCATCATCTATTAGTTGCAACAACAATTTCCACCATTTCGAATATTAATCATTCGACATCATCAAATTCTTTTTCTACTCCATCATCATTAAATTGTTCTATATGTTCAAAAAATCTCAATTTATTCTGTGATGAAAAAAGTGGCCGTTGTGAATGTCCTGCAAAAATGCCGGTACGATTATCATCGGAAATTCCTTGTTTACCGTATAAACATTTGGGTGATCTTTGTATCCATTCGGATGAATGTCGCCAAACAGAGAATGCTGTATGTATTGCAACGTTTTTATTTTCGATAAAAATCCTGAACAAAACACCATCGTTTAAACAATGGTTTTTCTATAATAAAATTCATAACGATGAAGATATGAATTATCTGCTGAACAAACTATATGGCCGATGTAGATGTCAAAAAGGATTTCGAGCAATAACACCTACCCAATGTATACCATCAACATTTGATACTTCTATCATTTGTAATCATGAAAATGATTGTTTATCCATTCGTGGCCATTGTGATCGTAATCGATGTCGATGTCCTAATGGTTATCATTATGATTTAATCAAAGAACGCTGTGATGAAATTTTTAATTTACATCTACATTTTTGTGCCTCATCTTCAGATTGTTATATACAGCAATCAAATATGGAATGTAAAAATCAAAAATGTGTTTGTACTCGGAATTATTCATTTCACAACGATACCGGATGTGTGCAACTTGATATCTGTAACAGTGAAACAACAACGACAACGATACGTCTTCGTAATCATCAACGACAATCAAACACACCTATATGTCAACAGCAATTATCATCATCATTTTCGACCATTAATGTTTGTCGTTTTGTGATTAAATCATTTCCATTGATTCTAATTGTAATTATAATATCGAATCTTTTATGTTATATTCGAACACGAAAATCATCATTAAGTAATCGGCTATATCGACATCATAGGGAAATACATGATTTAAGACGTCGATATAGTGAAGAACAACGACAACGAACCAATTCATCAATGAATCATTTATCTATTGTTCCAAATGATCGAACAATTCAATCATGTTCTCTGTTATCATTACCTGATTATGAAACAATAATTAATAATGAAATGCCAGTCATTATCGAAAACCACCGCAATTATCAAAATCTACAAGAACGATTACCTACATATGAAGAAGCTATTGTTTTATCCTTGAAAAATTCGATCAACTCTAGTTCTGATCAAGACATTATTCATGGTCATAATGATGATGATGATGATGATGACAATGACGATGACAATGATCAACAACAAAATGACTACCATGGTATTGTTTCACAACATCAACAACAAAGGCAACGAATGCTTGATGGCCATTGTGAATATCATCATCATCATCATTAAATATATGTTCTCATCAAAAATGGCTAGCCATTTAGATCAAAAAATTTGTTGATTTATTTTTACATTTAAATTTTTTTGTTTGTTGGATTGTTTGTTTGTTGCTCTCATCTTTTCGTAAATAAATAAATAAATGATTTTTAAATCAGTCAATGTCTACGTGTGTTTTTTTTGCATTTACATCGTCAATAACAAAAAAAAAAAGAATTGAATTTCTTGCTTGTGTAAAATTAGATCGATCAATGAATTGTCAGAGAAAAATTGATCGATTGAAATTCGAATGTATCGATCATTCAATTAATCGATGGTTCAACAAATATAATGACAATGAAGAGTTTACGTTTTTTTTCCGCATAACCATTTAGTGCAGAAAAAAAAAACAAATTTTTTTTCTGTTTTAACATTTAATAATCGTCACACACTCAAGTTTACTATTACCATTTTTCATATTCAAAAAAGTCAACACACAGAAAATCCTTGACCTGTATGTGATATTGGTGGTCATCGCGAAAAAAACACAAGAAAAAAAAACGATGAATGGTCATCGAGAGAAAAGTAAGTTGTACGGAAAAAAAAATATTTATCGATAAACTCTTGCTCTTGTTTTTAATGTTCCATTTTAGATTATCATCATGTCTGTCTGTCTGTCTGTCAATCAGTCTCTTTCTATTGGTTGTTGTCTGATATATGATCCATGGATAATTTTTGCCAAATATATCCCCGTGTTTCGACAAGTTTTGTTGTTGTTGTTGTTGTTGTTATTGGAAAAAGTTCACTGTTGATGAAAACATTTGAAATAACCATTGACCATAAACAGAAAACAAAAACATAAAAGGCGTATTATTAGCAAGCAAACAAAAAAAAAATTGTAAAACAATAGGTAATGGATATTAACAGGAAGCATGGCATTCAAACAAATGACAAAAAAAAAAAAAAAAATACCGAAAGACCAAAAACACAGAACAAAAGTGTTGAATATAATTTGGCGCCAACTCACTTTTTTTTTGCTTTACCTGCTACAAATTGTGCATATTAGTGGTGCATGACGACAAAATCCAAAAAAAAAAAAAAAAAAAATGCGACGGGCATTACATTTCATTTCATTTATTCAAATGGATTGTTATGGCCAATGCATGGTGTTTCTGGAACATTTTTTCAGTTAGATAAAGATCAGCAATTTTTTTTTTTTTTTGGTAGCTACCGACTACAGAATTTGTTAATCAACATGACTACAGCAGTAGAAAATTGTTCCTGAATATATAATATCAGAATATGTTAAATCAAAACAACAAAAATTTCATTTGAACGTTGACATTGAATTCATCATTCATTTAATTTTTTTTAATGAATTTCCAGCAACATTTTACAGTGTTTGTGATTCGTTGAATTCAAAATTGGTACCATTTTTCATCGGTGACCATGTTCGTCACCGATTAACAAAGAAAAATTTGAATACAAATCTGTTCCTGGTTCATATCTGTCACCTGGATAATAATCATCACTGATATACTGGAAATTAAAATGATGAAATGTTCATTTATCATTTGTAACAATAATAAAATTGACTCAATCATATTTCTAGTCATCATCATCATTACATTCAATGTGATATTCATTATTTCTCACATATCATGTGATCGCCATCATCATAAAGTTTATCGTCATGAAAAACGACCTGATCGATTGAAATTCGAAATCGAACGCCACATCGATTGCCATGCTATTGGCTATTCGGATGCAACACTCAATGAATGTGGATATTGTGTTGGTGGTCAAACCAAATTGGATTATGATCATGGAAAAGATTGTCTAGGAGGTATGTAATAGTAAATTTTCGATGATCCCATGTTTAATCATCAAATTTTTCCTGTATATACAGTTTGTTTTGGCAACACAACCATAGATTGTATGGGTGTTTGTGGTGGTGATGCCTATATCGATGAATGTTCTGGAACTTGTATACAACCAGGTAGATTATTGTTAACGAAAAAAAAATTTTTCAAATTAATTTTTTTACAAAAAAAAATTCACAGGTTTAGTTGCCATTGATAAACATTCATCATTAGTATTGATGAATCGTGATTGTCGTGGTTTATGTTTACAGCAACCACCACCACCAGCCACAACAACAACGGATAAAGAATCCAATCAACAACGACAAAACAATCCGATGGTTGCAACACAATCATATCAATTGGATCGTTGTGGGTTTTGTTCACTTTCACAATCACAACAATCACAACAACAACAACAACAACAATCATCACCATCGTCATCGTCATCGGTGAACGATCCAAACCAGATGACAATGTCACAATCAATGGATTGCAAAGGAAATTGTCAACTTCCTGGCTTAGTCAAGCATACAATAGTTTGTGGCCAATGTATTAATCAACAGAATGAAATGCCAACTGTAATTGATAATTGTGGCCATTGTCTATCTGAAGGGCATGCTTGTTCATGTGATCGGTATGTATTATTGTATTTACGATATAATAATGAGATTTATTCATTGAAAATATTTTCTATAGTGATCCAATACGTTGTGGCTGTATTGATCAAAATAATTGCTATCTGATTAAAAATCTATTGCCCATAGCTATACCGAACAATGTTCCAGTGAATGTAAGTGTTACTCTATCCATCCATTCATTCATCAATTTGTCACTTTTTTTTCTCACTACAACAACAACAACAACAGATTTCAATTGTTGGTTATTTTTATCCATATGTTAATCAATTATATTGTGTGATACGTTCACAATCATTTGAAATAATTGAATCATTTCCGGTACAATTTTTATATAAAAATAAAACATTCATACAATGTACAATGAAATTGGAACAATGTACGTATGTATTATCATTTGAATATAATTTTTTTTGTTTGTTCCTTCAATGAATCTATTGTTTTTTTCATCTGTATTCAGGATGTTGATTCAGGTGTTCATATGTGTAATATTTTTTTTGGTTTGGTGCTTACTCAAAACGAAAATACAATTAGAATAGATAGCCATGCTATAGAGTTGGTTTCATTATTACAAATGTGTGTGTGTGTGATACGTGATTCTCATTGTTAAACATTCACTTGTTTAATGATGATGATGATGATAATAACCAGGATACAAATTATTAGATTGGTATATGAAAAAAAACCGCAAAACTTTACTTCATGGTCAATGGTTAGCTAATTTGAAAAAAAAAACATAGTGATAGTGACCCTTTTTTTCCACTTATTATCATAATAAATCAATTCAAGTTATTTTCAGACAAATTACAGTGATTACATTTAATCGATTGATCGAAATTAATTAATTAATCATTTGTTACTTTTGTTCATAGCTGGCGAATATGTTGTCGGTTTAGGTTTCCGTCCGAATGTATTGATTACACCGCCCAAGGATTTATTACAATTTTATGTTTTTGATTCGAATGCAGGTAAGTGAATGATGAATGATTATTATGGATGATTTTCATTATTAATCGAATTTTTTTTCCAAAATCAGTCAATTTAACTGGAATTACGCCTCAACGTTCATTTTCCAATGAATCCGATTTGCCATTAATGATTAAATTCAATGCTATTGTTGATAATCATGAATTGCCACCTACACCGATTCGTTGTGGAATCATATATGAAAATGGCCAACAAGAGCTTAGTGATTATGGTCAGGATCAATATTCTTGTAGATTGAAAGAATCTAAATTACGAGCAAAATCACAGATAACAAGAATATATCCAACTTTTGATGGAATTAATTTCATTGGTTCCGGATTCGATCATCTGATTCAATCACCTGCACCAAAAATTTTTGCCTTATCATCATTTATATCTGAGGATAGTCTTTCGATAATTGTTAATTTTGATAAATCAGTCAATATTGAAATCATCGAGAATCATATACGTGAAAATGTCGATGATGATGAAGATGATGTTGCATTGATTATGTGTGATTATCTACTAACCGAATCGACTATAGAACAACTTAGCTTATTCGAATTGGAAAGCTGTAAATGGGCCACACGAACACAATTTATTATAACGATATTGAAACCATTTTCATCGGATATGATCGAAATACAATTGAAGCCACAAGTATTATCAGAACATGGACAAAAATATCCTTTGTTCAATCAAGAATCTGAATCGGCCAATATATCAAAACTTTCAAATCATCTGAATTGGTGGAGCTATGAACCAATGATTGCCATTATTGGACCAAATGAAATATCATTCTGTGGTATTTTTTCATTGATTGGCCATTTTTCTTCACCTCGTGGTACTACTGAAGTGAATTTTGAATGGAAAGTTTCCGGTGAAGTTACCAGTGATCTTCGACAATATGTTCGTAGTCATGGAAAATCAACGAATCTTTTATTGAATGCTGAAATGTTTGATATAAATACAGAATATACGTTTACATTCAGTGCATTTATACATGCTCGACGTCAAAGTATCGAAGCCGTACATTCATTAATACGGCTAGAATATGAAACACCGAATTTGGTCATCTATTCTACAAATACATTGAGTAGCAATCCGTTACGTGAAAATGATCCTATTCTGTTGTTTGGTGATTTTCATATTCCCGATTGTATTTATCCACCACAATTGATCACAATGTATTGGTCAACCAATGACCCGTTGGTGCTGTTTCCAATCAAACAAATCACAAAACGTTATACCGCTATATATCATATTGAACCATATTCAATACCATCTAATCATTTGACATCGATTACTTTGAATGCTCATATTGGATTCTTTGTAAATCAAACAAGTAAAGCTACCTTTTCAATCAATTCACTACCAGCACAGTTAAAAACTAATCCAGCTAATGGAATCAATCGAATTACAATCGGTACACAAAGTGGATTGCTTACTATTCCATCTAATAATGATATTCGTCAAAAACGTTTTGTCTATCAATGGAGTTGTCATGACACAAAATCTGCACAACCTTGTTATTATAATTTTTTGTCTGTACCGAATGACCTTCATAGAAATCCATTATTGATCACTAGAGAAATTCAAACACAAAAAGTGTTGATGTTAAATTCCAGTTCATTTCAGCCAAATAATCAATATTTGATTGGACTTCAAGTTTTCGATGCCAATGATAGCCGTTCAAGTTCAGAAACTGAATATATTTTACTCAATGTTATCGATGGTATTAAACCACAAGTGTTTATTGGACCAGTATATATAAATGGTGAATTCTTAGTTCCATACAATGCACATTTTTCCACATTTGTCATACCATCCGGTAGTAATATTGTGATTCGAGGAAAAGCATATCTAAATCGTGGAGTGAAAAATGTCATATGGAAATCTCCAACTTTTCGTTATCCATTACTTTGGACCAATGATCAAATCAGTGATCAGGAAATCCATACTGAGCTTTACTTATATGGAGGTGTGCGGAACAAAAATTTTATTGATTTTTAAATGATGTTTGTTAACCCTTCTTTCTCACATTTAACATTTACACAGATACATTGACCGCATATGGGACATATAATTTTAAAATGGAATCCTGTAGTCATTCAAATGAATGTAGTTTAGCAGAAATTTCATTGATGTCCGCTCAATCGACTACAATGTGTGAAGTTGGTGTTGAATCTTATGTTGAATTAGAAATGGTATGTGTGTTGATTTGAATTTCTTGAAACTTGATTTTAATTTTTTTTTTAAAAATCTATTCAGACATTGGCTAGCATTGAAAAATGTAATCTTTCACCAAGTTCATCGCCCATTACATATCAAATATATCTGGAAGATGAACATTATCCAGCAATGTTACCATTGACTATGCCACAATTATCACCAGTTATTATTTTTCCAGGCACTCCGGTACCAATTTTTAATGAAAATCAATTAACACGTTTAACAGTGAAAACTTGTGATCGTTTTCAAACCTGCACGCTACATCGATCATATCCAATTCGTGTGGAACATTCACCGAATCTGACACAATCAATTCTACAACTTATACAACATGCACGTCGTATCTATCAAACTGGTGATATGATTGTTGCATTGAATTATTTGAATCCAATTTTTCTTAAACATGATTTTGAAATGGAAAATCACGCATTATTTGAAATGGCCATCAATTCAAGCATTGAATTCGCAACCACAGCCATACAATTGCCAAATTTAATACTAAGTTCAGGTCATTATGAACTAATGTTCAGTATGTTTAGTCATGCATTACATAAAACGGAAAATCTATTGTTGCGACGAAAATTGCTTAATTTAATTATTCGTTATTTTGAAAAAGCTGATGCTCATCATATCAGAATTTCAATCAAAAATATTCGTATTATTTATGCAAATGTTATGAATTCATTTGTTCATTCATCCAGTGATGATCGATGGAATAATCAAGAAGAAAATTTAAAATTCCTTAAAGATATTCGTGAAACATTCAAAAGAATTAAAAAAGCTGTTGCATCACGTATGCCACTTGGTGCACATACTGTGATGTTAGCTGAAAGAATCGAATATCATACTGCTCAATTCGATTCAATGGATCAAATGACAACTAACGCCGCTACGTTGCCAGTGAAAATTCATACAGCATATACAGAAGTTATTCATTCGGATAATGTAGAAGATCTTTATATCAGAGCACAAATGTCACAGAATCGAACAATTACAGCAAAAGTAAGATTTGGACCAGAAATTCGACAAATGTTCAATAAAAGTTGGGATTGTGATCGACGACATCCATGTTCAAGTGTTGTACAGTTTGTAACTGTATTCCCGGATGAAAGTCCATTTCCTCATGATGAACGAACACATCGATTGTCTCCAATCATTGATATAACTATTCATGCACCACATACTGGTCAAGAACAACGAATCCGTGGTCTTTTCAAAGCATCTGTTTTTGAACTTACTGTCACTGGAAATGATTCATATGGTGGATCCAGTTATACTACTAAATGTCATTATTTCGATGAATCAACACAACAATGGCGTATGGATGATATTCATCCATTGGGTATTGCTTATGCACAAGCTGGTTGTTGGTCTGGTCATCTATCGTCATTTGTCATTCTAAGAACAATCATGGGTATCAGTGCTGATTATGTAATTGGCGTTTTAGTTGCTTGTACAATGGGTGTATTGATATTTGGTATGATGGTTGTATTCTATGTACAACGTAAAAATGATGCTGAAGCTGCAACAACAGCAGCAGCAGCAGCAAATAAAGAAAATGATGGTGTAGACAAAAAATCAACCATTGATGACATTTCTAATCAGAGACAAAAACGAACAGCCAAAGTTGGTGCAATGGAAATTCAAAGTCAAACAATTTTAGTAGCTGATGATTGACAATTACAGATGTTGAATATACCAAAAAATTTTCTTTTATTAACATCGTTTCAACGTCGATAGTTGAAACAAAAATAAATTTGTTTGTTTTTTTTTTGTATTTAAAAAATCGAAATTTGAAATTTTTTCTCAAGTTAACTGATATTCTACTAAATGATGATTAGCACCATCTATCGATATTCAATATGGATAATAAAAACAGTATATATCTGATGTCCGATACCAGAACTGGATATATCCATGGTTAGATAGATAACTGGACAACAAAATCACTTGATTCGAATGAATGAATGAAGCTAGTTTATTTCGTTTGCCAATTCGGTGATGCTCGATTCAAGTTGTGAACAGTTACCAGAACAACAACAACAACAACAACAACAACACTACGATGATTGGCCAACAAACAGACTACCGTTATCATATAAGATGATCAAGGTATATGTCATTGACCTTAAACCATAACCACCATCATCATCATATTTTGATTTTTCTACGAGCATTCAATTTGATCAATCGATTCTTCAAAAGGTCGTAGAACAAACAGCAAATAAAAAAAAATGAATTTTATTTCACAATTATTATAGTGATCATCAAAAAATCTATTTTTTTAAAAGTTTTTACCAAAAAAAACCATTCGAAATAAAAAAAACGATGACGAATCCAAACATGACAATGACCATCATTTTATTTGTGTTTTTATTCGCTAATGTTGCTACGGCCAACATTCATCATCAACAGCGATCATCAATCGTATCCACCAATCCAATCGTGGCAAAATCATCACAATGGCAAGGAATAGCTACCACATCAAATCAATCGACAACTTTATCATCATCTTCTTCATCACAACAACAACAACAACAGCCACAACGTGTCCAAACCACAACAGCAACAACAAATTCAAATGAACAATGGATTGGAAATGGTCATCTACAATTTACATTCGATTTATTGGCCGGAATTTTTATGAACAGTATTGATTTAAAAACAGGAAATTTAGATTCTGTCGTATTCTCACCATTCAGTATTCAATCAATGTTGATGATGATTCATCTGGGTGCTAAAGGTGTAACTAAAAGTGAAATTGCTAAAATATTACATTTGGATTCAATGGAAAATAATGTTACCTTTTCGAAAACACATGAAGCATTTAGTCAAGCAGTGAAAAGTTTAATTGATGATGTCAACATAAGTAAATCATTGCATAGTGCTAATCAGATATTCATACAAGAAACGTTACAAGTATCAAATACATATCTGTCGGCTGTAAATCATTATCATCTTTCTTCTATACGTTATTTGAATTTTGCTAAAGAATCCTATCAAGTATTGAATACAATCAATGATTGGATTGAAAAACAAACACAACATATGATAACGAATTTTCTTACTACACCACCATCACCGGCCACAACATTGATGGCTGTCAATGCCATTCGTTTTAAAGGCGATTGGCAATATCGTTTTGATCCAAGTGACACGGAAAAAGATGCCTGGTTTCGAATGATCAATGGTCAAGTGGCCACTGTTGATATGATGGTTGCTCAACATCCAGTAGCATTTGCTTATAGTGCATCGTTACAAACATCCATTATTGAATTACCATTCAAAATGCAACGATTAAGTTTTTTTCTTTTACTTCCAAACGATACTTTTGGCCTGTTTTCTTTGTTGAATTCATTGAATGCTACAGTATTTGCTGATTTAATTTATTCAATGCGTAAAGTAAATAGTGGTGATAAAACATTTGGAGGTTCCAATGGTGTAAATATTCGTTTGCCAAAATTTACAATTAGTTCAATGCCTCGTATTACGGAAATTATGAAAACTCAAATGGGTGTAAAAAGTTTATTTTCAACCGAATCTGCAAATCTTGAAGCCATGTTCAATCGATATAGTGGCCATATTCATATGGGTGATTTACTACACAAAGCTGTCATTAAAATTGATGAACAAGGTAGTATTGGTGCAGCGGTGAGCACAAGTTCTATTGAACGTATCGGTGCATTTAATGGGCCATATTTTGAAGCCGATCATCCATTCATTTATCTATTGATGGATAAACAAACTGGTCTGGCATTGTTTGCCGGTATTTATGCTGGACCAGGTAAAGAAGATCAACAACAAGATTCAACCATACAAAAATCAAAAACATTATCAACAACAAAAACTATAATGCAATCCAATAATAATAATAATAATTTACAACAACAAATTAATACTGTGAAAAATTCGAATCAACAGCCACCATCATCTGCATCTATTCAATCACAATCATCATCATATCATCATCATCATCATCATCAGCGTTTACATTTGAATCAATATACATTTGGAATGACACCAGATGGCAGTAATGTCGATAATAATAATAAAATGAAATATAAATTGTAACGTTTTTGAATAAAATAAAATTTCAAAAAAAAAAAAAAAATTGAATTTTTTATCTTGTTGACTAGTGAATTTATTGGTAAACAAAAAAAAATCTTTTTCACACACACACATTTTTTCTATAGTCATTGCAAAATTTGTCAAAATATTACACTTTAGTTTTTTTGTTTTATGCGATTTATTATCAATATATCACCACCACCACCATCAGTCATCAATTGTTGACGGCTCGAAAGAAAATATTTTCCGATTCTTCCAATGATAATGGCTAGTTTGATTAATCAAAACAACATATGATGAGGTATTTTTAATTGTTTATTTTGATTGATTGAAACTTACCATCAATAATTGATGTTTAAGCTGTTCAGTATTATTCAATCGTAGTAATTGTTTACGTTGATATAATATTAATGCTTTGCTTACAGAAATCAATACATAAAATGGTCGAGATCCATTTATTAGACAGCCAATTACTTTGTCCAAAACTCTGGGAAATGAAAACAAAACAAAAAAAAATCATAATCTTAATCAATAAACAAACAAACAACTTATTCTTTTTTTACCTGATAACAAAATTTTGATGTATTATACCGGAAAAAAACCGAACAAACCATGTGATTATCGGTCGGAATGTATGCACTTTTTTCTGATGTATAGAATTCTGACGACAAATCCATGATTGTGATGTTGATGGCTGTAATAATGTAGAATTTTGAGTATGTTGATTTGAATTGTTTGTTAACGATTGTTGTTGTTGTTGATGATGATGATGATGTGAAAATTGAAAATTTAAATTATTATTGTTACCATTACCATTACCATTGCAATTGCAATTGTTGTCAATTTGTTTGATGATTCCATTCTTAACCAGATGATTGTGTAATGTATTGTCTTCATGTGACAAGTATTGGATGAATTTTTCATACTGTATGTATGGTAATAATCACAAGTATGAAAATTTTTTTTTTTCTTTTTTTTCAAATAAATCAATAGATAGATCAATCAATTACCGTTTCGATTAATGTACCAATATTGGAATTGATAATCAACATAAAATGTTTATAAATCCAATAAGTATCTTCAAAAGTATATGGTGGTAATGATGATGGTGAATTTGTATGAACAAATTCTTTGGCAAAAACTTCACTTAAATATAGCAAATCATGAGTATCGATTTTTTGTAACTTTTAATAATTAAACAAAAACACATGATTAAACAATGAAAATAATGTATTTGTAAAATACTAACCTGATGAGCAATATTCATTGTAGATGCTAATTGTTTTGTTTCCAATAGGAAAATGATGACAATCATACGAGGATAATCTTGAACATTAATGATTCTTTCGGCCAACATTGAATCATCATCAATATTGATTTGTTCATGATTAATCAAACCCATTACTGTAAGTGCTTGGATTATATGTTGAACAATTTTACGTCGTGTCTGGCATCGAATTTCATTGATTCGATTATCCGGTTTTATTACATCCAATAATAATTGCCATACTTGTTTACGTTGTCCAGGTGACAATGAATATCGGGAAGCCAATTGTGCCAGACGTGACAATAAATCTGGTGGATTTTCTCGTAAAAGAATTTCCAATGATTTTTTCTCTTCAATACCACCAAAACCAACTTTTTCATAATATCCATAACGAAAATTACGATCGTCGTTTGACATTATATTCAATTTATTCAACAACAACAATAACAACAACAACAGCCAACATACTCAATGATAATTCGATTCATTCGGAGGGAGTTTTTTATGCAGTATTTTTTTTTTGTTCTTGTTTTTGATTAATCTTTAATATATCACATGTGTGTGTGTGTTTGGCGAAAATATTCAATCGATTTCAGCAGCAGTTGGAAAAAAAATGAGATTTATTTTAGTTGAGGTAGTTGATGATAGTAAAGAAATAGCGAAAATTGATGATATTCCACCAATATAGATAAGATTCCACTTCAAATGATGATTGCCATTGGATAATAATTTAATTTAATATAATATCATTTAGCATGTGTGTATGTGTGTGTGTGTTTATGCTTCAATAATTAATGGAATTATATATTGCATCGAATATTCATTCATTAACAAAAAAAAAAAAAAAAAATTCCTAAAATCGAATATTTCGAAATTTATGAATGCAAACAATGCAAATCCCAATAATCAAAGGATAGCATGGTGGCTCTTCAAAAAAAAAAAAAAAAATGATCACTAGCTTGCTGGATGGATAGATGATAATGTGGATGACGATGACGACGACAAGATATATCTTGTATCATGTATCATATCCAGTTACAAGCATGAATACACACAAGGATAACAACAACAACAACAACAAAATCAATCATATCAATGCTTGTGAATCCATTCACTAGCTGTCTCTGTATGTGTGTTGTTTATTGAGCAAAGTTTGCCAAACCACATCTTTATGCTCGAAATTTATTTGTCTGAATTTAAATATTGCGTCGTCATTGATGATTCTGTTCTTGTTGTTGTTGATGATGATGATGATGTTAATCTAATAATTGCTGTTAGTTATTAGAAAGGAATTTTTTCGTTCTTTACTTTAATTTGAAATTTCACTACGACTTTGAAATATTGAATACGAAGAATTTTGTTGCTGTTGTTGTTGTTGCTGTTTCCTAACTTGCTTGTTCAGCATCAACATCTCATCTCAAACAAACGATCTCGTTTCTTTCTTCCTCGATTCTGATTATTTATCTGATTAATATTGAAAATGGATAATAATAAAAACTATGTAATCATCTGTAATAAAATCGATTCATTATTATTCAAAGAAATGAAACAAATGGAAGTGACAAACATGTCTTGCACTGTTGATGAATTGGCCATTCAGATTGCCGAATTATGGAATCTGGAAAAACAAACATTTGGTTTGTATATATCGAATTTTATTTATGCCTTCTTGATTCTTATTTTTCTCTTTTTTTTTTGTTTGAAGATGTTGTATGTTTTGGTAAATTATTGGATTCTTCAAAAACTTTGGATTTTTATGGCATTGAAAATGGAACGATGCTTTATTTGTTAAAGAAAAAAACTACGGCTTTAAATCATCTAGTGGATAGTAAAGATTCACAGAAATCAAACATTGTTGAAACAAACAATATATCATCAGCACATTCATCATTTGCATTCACCACTGAACAACAAGGTCAATGTATTGCATTGAAAAGTGCTCTATTAAATTCAGCTTTTAGACAAGTTATTGAAAATCTATCAGATTTTGATAATCGTGAAAATTTAATGACCGTCAATCATGAACTTCGAAATGATCCATCATTGTTTGGCGTTTTAAGTGATTCTGAACTATTACATGCATATATAAATAAGAATAATGTAAAAAATGTATTGAAACGATATCCATATTTTTTAGAAGTTGCTACACATGTATCAGCAACGTTCCATGAGGAAATTAATTCATCTGCAATGCATCAAAGTCTTGGTTATCGTGGATCATTATTGAACTATTCAATCGATGCTATATCTGAAGATGAAGAAATGGATGAAAGTGAAACATCTTCGATTTCTTCGACAAATACAAATGGTTCAATGCGTCGATTAAGTGATCCATCATCATCATCGTTTGCATCGATGTTGATGCAAGCCTATAATCATCATAATCAGAATCGTCAATTATTGCAACAACAACACTCGTCTAGTGGTGGCGGCAATAATTCGACAATAATCACACAAGGTATTTGAATTTTATAATAATTTTATTCATTTTGTTTAATGAAAAATTCAATTTAAATTATAGACATGTTAAGGCAAGCCCTACAATCGACATCTTCATCGTCAAATATACCAAACATGATTGGTGAAATGTCATCATCATCATCATCATCATCACACCATCAACATCATCACCATCATCAAGATCATCACCATCATCAGCAATCTCAATGTGACACATTTCCAAATATTGCAACAAATCAAGATCGTTCAAATAATGAATTATCGGAAATGATGATCACTAGCCGTGATAGTACTCGTTGTAATACACCACAACCAATGCCGGTTCCCGCTGCTGCTGCTGTAAATCCGAACAATGATAATCGAACACCAGCACAGATTCTAATTGGTTGGGCACCACAATTACGTCAAATGCGTGAATTAGGTATAACCGATGATATTGTTGCCATTCAAGCATTGGAAGCAACTAATGGTGATGTACAGGCAGCGATCAATATTATTTTTAGTGATATGTCTTGAAACAAAAAGAAATTATTATCTTATTATCAATTTAAAAAAAAATACCCAAAACTTTAAATAATAAATAAAAAAATTTAAATTTTAAAAAGTTTTTCAATTTTTCCGATAGATGGCAACATCGTCTATAGAACAATAAATAGAACGTTGCTTTTCCTTTTCCTATCAACGTGTGTGTGTGAGTGAGTGTTTCGTGTTTTTGTGGCCGCACGTGAAAAATATTTTCTTTTGAATTTCATCGAATTTTTTTTTTGATCTTTTAAAAAATGGCCATCACACCAATTTACAAACCGGAAATTATCAAAAAACGTACGAAGAAATTTCGTCGTCATCAATCGGATCGTTATCGAAAATTGAAGGTAATTTTTTCTTTACATTAATATGATCATTGTTCAATTTCTATTTTTTTTTTTTTTTTGAATACAGCCAAACTGGCGTAAACCAAAAGGTATTGATAATCGTGTTCGTCGCCGTTTTAAAGGACAAATTTTGATGCCCAACATTGGTTATGGTTCGGCACGAAAAACCAAACACATGTTACCGAATGGTTTTCGTAAAGTTTTGGTACATAATTTGAAGGTTAGTGTTCATGTAATGTTTATTTTTTTCTGTTTTATTCATTCTAAATTTTATTTTTATTGTCTAGGAATTGGAAGTACTAATGATGATGAATCGAAGATATTGTGCCGAAATTGCCCATTCTGTGTCATCGAAAAAACGTAAAGAAATTGTTGAACGTGCACGACAATTATCAATCAAAGTGACAAATGGTGCAGCACGTCTTCGTACGGAAGAAAATGAATAATAAACATCTCTTTATATTATGATTATTATTACGCTACGATCCGAACACCAAAATTTTCTATTTTGTAATGTAATAAGATTAATTTTTTTCATTAAAAATTAAAAAAAAAAAATAAATCTCAATTCCCAAAATAAATAAACCTATACCGATTGAATACTAGATGGCACCATTGTAGCAATAGTGTCATTTATTTTATTAATGGTTCATTTCAAATTATACTGATGTATATAGCCAGTCGTCCATTTTTTTTTTTTTTTGGTCACACAATATATTGTGTCCTCGACATGTTATTTTTTTTTTGGTGCTATAGCGAAAACACAGCACACATCTTGAAAAGTGTGTGTGTGTGTGTGTCTGGCATGTCTGCATTTTGTGTGTGTGAACGTTGATGATTTTTTTTTTTTTTTTTGGAGTAGTAGAATTCGATTATGTGAATATACATATTCATCGCGCTTATGGATTTTTGGTGTTCTTGGTTCTTTGGGTTTCATAAAGTTTTATCCACTTTCTTGTCTTTTGGCGTGGCTGAATTTTTTTTTTTTTTTTTTTTGGCATATGAATGAATTCATGCAGCAGAAATGATGATGGTGAGTAAAAGTTCCTGTTTGTGTGCTAACTAATAATGTGAGTGCATATATATCATCATCATCATTTTGTATATATTGATGGTGTGTGTGTGTGTGTGTGACTCTCCTTGAGTTTTTCTGTTCTTTCCTAAAGACGCGTTTGTTTTATCGTTGTTTTTTTTTTGTTGTTACAATTTGCTGTTACCAATGAAATGAAAGGATGAAAATGGTGTGCTGTGTTGTTGTATGTCAGTGTTTTTAGACTGAGTTGTCCTGTTGTTTTCATTTTTTTTCTGATTTGTTTGGTTTGGTTTTATTTTTGCTAGGTTTTTGTCTTTCTGTTCTTGTGTATGTATGTGTGTTTGTAACTGTGTTTGTGTGTGTGTGTGTGTGTGTGTGTGTTGGGTTGAAGAAGGTGAAGAAGAATAAGGATTTGGTTGGTTGAAAGGTCGTGAATGTGTGTGTGTGTGTGTGTGTGTATGCTGTTGATATAATCCGGTATTAATCACCATCATCATCATTATCGTATCGAACGTTTGGATCCAACGTGTTTAAAGAACCGGCTTGTTTTTGTGTGTATATGTGTGCCTGTGTGTCTTTATTTTAAAAAAGGGTGACATATTGTCATTTGATTGTGTTGATATATAATTCTTTTAATTTGAATTCGGATAAGATTCATTCAATAAAATAAAAAAAAATCAGCGAATCAATGTTGTCGTCGATGATTCTAGGACCAAAGATTCTTTCTTTATCTTTGTTTGTGCACCATCGTCATAGTGATTGTTGTTGTCAGAATAAATTTTGGAAATAATTATTATCGGCCATTAACATCTCTGTTTTTTATTGATCAAGAAGCTGGGTTTTGTACTACGACAGCAAAAAAGAAAATTCATCGAACGTCAATTTCGACTAAAATCGATTGTTTGTTTGTGTGTGTGTGTGTACCACATTGTGTGTTCACAAATTCATAATCATTTGTAAAAAAAAAAACCAACAAGAAGAAAAAAAATGTCTGACGATCGAAGTGGAGACGATTCTCATCAGACATCTAGTAATGGTTCATATACTTTTTTTTTGCATTTTTCAATCCATCATTCCATTATTCATTCAATCATTTCAAACAATTTCACCTTTTTTAGGATTAGGATTTTGATTTTTTTTTAAAGAAATTTATGATCATTCAATTCAATCATAATATAATAAATTAATTCTGACCTAGGACTATCCAAAGAAATTTTTTTTTCCGCATTTGTATACCATGTCCGGCTATACAATCCGAATTGAGCAAATAAAAAACCTTCACAATTTTTTGTAGTCAGTGAATGGCGCCTGCTCGTCTTTTGCCCGTAGTAACAATTATATTTGAGCCCGCGCCATTTCGATAGTATCGATATAGTAGATTGTTTTAATCTGCATAAATGTGTAGGGCGCGAAATTTTAAAACTATGCTTACCACATATACAAATAATAATAACACATGATGATGATTATTTTGGAAATTATTTTCTCATTCCATTTTATTTTTTTTTTCGATACTTTTAGTCTCATCAGCTGGTGGTGAACAGCCAACCCAACAGAATGAACAAGAATTGGCTACAAAAACTTTGTATATCCAACATAAACGTTTCTATTTGGATGTCAAACAAAATCATCGTGGAAGATTTATCAAAGTGGCTGAAGTAAGATAATGATAAAGATAATAAAGAATCATTTTAATTGATTTTATGTCAATTTTTTTTTTGATGATGATGTCGATAGGTTGGCAGCGCTGGACGAAAAAGTCGATTATTATTATCGATGGCTGCATCACGAGAATTTCGTGATCATTTAACAACTTTTTCTGAGCTCTATGCTTCATTAGGTAATATTTTTATGACGTGATCAAATAATGATATCTAATATTAGATTGTTCATCATCATTTACAGGTCCACCGAATCTTGATAATTATCCTGAAGATGGCAAAATCAAATCAGAAATTATCATTAAAGATAATAGAAGATATTTTCTCGATCTAAAGGAAAATACTCGTGGTCGTTTTCTAAGGGTATGAACGTGTTGATTATGTCTAATTTTTTTTTCTGACCTTATTTATCTATTTTTTTGTGACAAAGGTTTCGCAATCATTTACACATGGTGGAACCCGAACACAAATTGCAATTCCGGCACAAGGAATGATTGAATTTCGAGATGCTTTGACCGATTTACTTGATGAATTTGGTACCGAAGAAGGGGGTAATGAGCAACATATACAGGCAGACATGAATCTGTCAGATTCATTGAAAATTTCTACTTCTTTAACAGGATTTCGAGATGCATTACCGGAAGGAACGAATTTCCGGGTTGAGAATAAAAAATTCTATTTTGACATTGGACAGAATAAAATTGGTGTTTTTATGCGTATATCAGAGGTATGTATGGAACCATTTGAAAGACAAAAATCTATAATTGATTAAATTAAAAAATTATAGGTAAAAAGTAGTACGCGTTCATCGATCACCATTCCAGAAAGATCATGGGCTCGTTTTCGTGACATATTTGCTGAATATGTTGATAAAATGAATCCAAATAATAATAGTACCAATATAACATCAGCCACCACTTCAGGTGGTGTTGCATCAACTAGTGGTGGTGTAGGTGGTACAGGTGATGAAAGTGGTGAAAAAACTACAACAACAATTACTACGGGTACCAAATCAAGTAAATCACAACAAGAATCATCATCATCATCAGCAACAACAGCATCAACGTCATCATCATCAACATCGGCTAAATGATTTCAAACAAAACAAAACAAAAAAACTCAAATCAAATCAACTCAAAATCTTCAAATAATTAATTGACAAAAACAAAAAAAAAAAAAATGATTTGTTGTTGTTGTTGTTGCTGCTGCTTGGCCTAGTAATGATTTTCATCTCATGTTCCACTATCCCAAATCATCATCATCATCATCATTATTATTATTATATAATTAATATAAATATATATGAATTTCAATAATATTCAGCAATTTGCAAGCACGCACGTCAAGAAAAGATTTATCAAATTTTCAGATGATTATGATTATTATTATTATATTTCAATATATTTCAAAATTTGAAAGAAAGAAAGAATGAAAGAATGAAAAAATTATATGTTCATTTTATTCGTTATAAAAAAAAATTGACTGAAAAGAATTTTACAAACACTCAGACACACTCATTCACACACACACACACACACACACAATCTGACATTGATGATCAGCAAACAGACAAATAGAATTTTTGTTTCATCCATTACATTCATTCATTACATACACACTATACACACACTACTGAATTGTTGCCCCAATCCAATTTCTCCACTTTTTTTTCATTGATTTTAAATTATATGATTTGATTTGATTTTAAAATTATCGATTTAATTGATTTTCTTTGTGGTTTTTTTTTCTTCTTCTTGGTAAAAAATGTTTATAACCAACTATATATAATAGACTGGCTTGGAAAATACTCGAAATTTACATTTGCAAAACACACACACACACACACACAAAATTTGAATTGAAGATTTTTTTTTTTTCACAATCATTTTGACCATTTTCATTGACGAAACACACACACCTAGTAGGTATTTAAATTCAAATTTTTCATGTGTTTTTTTTCTCTCGTTTATTTTTATAAATTCTTTTTTTTTCACCACTACCACCCACTACTAAAATCATCATGAACACACCCACCACACACTATCCACGACACACCCCACATTCGATTTCAGAAAAAAAAATTCATTTTGAAAAAACAAAAACACCAAAATGGAAGCCAAGAGATTTGATTCTTGATTTGAAAAAAATGGTCCTAGATTGTTTTATCTTTTTGCCTATCCACTCACTTTTTTTTTGTTTTATTCATTAGTATTCCTCTTTTTTTAATTTTTTTTTCTCCTTCTTCTGTCCGGTCTTGTGTTTGATTTGAGTTTTTTCTCTTCTTGAATTAAATTCTTTGCCTTTTCTTTTATCATTAATCGATTTGTTTATCTGTTTGCTGATTGATTGATTGATTACCTGTTGTGTGTGTGTGTGTGTGTGTGTGTGGTTTACGTCAAAACAAACATTATGAATTGAATGAAAACTCCCACCTCATATATAAATTTACAGATTTTTTTTTTCTGTGGTAAAACCAAAAAAAAAAAAATCCCATTGTTGATTGATATCTGCTGCCATGTTTTTTGTTTTCGTTTTTTTTCTCATTTCGTTTTCGTTTTCCATTTTGTTTTGATTGAAAAATATGAATTGAATGCAAAAAAAAAGAATGAATTTTAAATTATGCATGTGTATGTGCGTTAGTAATAACCGTTTCTGGCACCGTGTTTTATTTCACATTATATGTCAATTTTATTGAGATTTTATAAATCAATTTCAATCCAATTCTGGACATTTAACACACACACAAAAAAACTTTCATCATATATATCTGCAATGCAATCTCAAACATTTTCCAGAACAAGCAATGTAAATATTTTAAATTTAAATTCCACACACCCCCACACACCTTCCAATAATCACTAAGATAAAAAAAAATTCTTATTCTAGTGTTGGTTAATGTTAATTTTGTTGTTGCTGTTGTTGTTCAATTCATCATTCCATTGATTATCATCATTATCATCATCGTCATCACAATTTATTTGCGAAATAAAACGAGAATGAGAAATTTAAAAAAAAAAAAACATTCCTGGACTATTTTGTTGATCGATTAAACTACTAATAATGATATGTGGTTGGTGAACAAATAGCCTGTGGCAACATTCAATGTTGATATTTGTCCGCCAAACATTCATTTAGTTTACCACTTTTTTTTTTTTTGTTACTATTGGTATTCTTGTTGTTGTTTTCGATTAGTTCCATCATGTGTTTTCTCTTTCTCTTTTTTTTTCTTTGGTTTATATGGCCTTGAACGACAATACGATGTAGCCAGATCAAAAAAAAGTGTGGGACACCGAACGAAGAAATAAAAAAAGAAAAAATTCCCGGGATTTCAAATAACAACCATGATGATGATGATGAGAGACATAATTTTTGATTCATTCATGACCATCACCACCACCACCATCGACTACAATTTATAATCGAAAATTTTTTTCTTTTTGATAAAAAAAATGAAAAATTTTTCAATTATATCAACCTTTGTAATAGATCCTTTAGAATCGAATTCTTAGGTTAATAGCTGTTGTTTATTTTTTTTTTTTTTTTGTTTTTGACAAAAAAAACCCGGTCCAATAATCATCATCATTGTCGTCATTCTAAATGCTAAAAATATAATGATGATGATGGTGATATTTTTTTTCCTTTTTGGATACGCATTACAATCACCCAGTTTTTTTTCGTTTTTTTCTATTCTAATTTTTGGAACATCAACATCATCATCATCATCATCATCGTCAATATATAAAAAAAAAACAAACGAATTATGAATCCTGGATCGAATCAGCCATCCATTCACTTTATTTGATTCGATTCAAGTCAAGTTAAGTCAGTCAGTCAGTCATGGTCACCAAACCAAACCAAACCAACCAACCAACCAATGAATGAATGAATTCCGGGTATTCCGACACATTTGACAGAGAAAGAAAGAGAAAGGAAAAAAAAGACACGGACGCCAACAATATCATTCATTCAACACCGAACGACCGACCGACAAAACAAGTAATGGAGGGAAAAAAATCGAGTTCACCAAGTCATCATCATAGTGTGGATAGAAGAAGAAGAAGAAGAAAGCAGCTATTTCCACATTGGATGCATGGAGAATTTTTTTTTTTAGATCCTGGATGACCCATATTCAGAATCAGAGAATATTCTTGTGCTCACTGACTCTCTCTCTCTTTTTCTCTTACATTCACCCACTCACTCTCGTTCTCGTTTATTTTCGGCTTGTGAATATATACACACTCTATTTACGTTTATTCTATAGTTGTTATTCTCATTTTTGTTGTTGTTGTTGTCATTTAATCATCATCATCATCATGGCGCCCACGAATGATGATGATGATGATTCTAAATACGTCACACACACACACACACAGAATATCTGGGATTTAGAATTCGATTCTCAGTTTTTCTCTCTCTGTGTGTGTGTGTGTGTTTTTCAACGTTTAAAAAAAGCATTTGAAAACAAAACAAAACAAACACCAGAAACAAAAACAACAGTAGAAATCTGCGCCGTTCTGGTGAAAAAAAAAAAGTTTTTTTTTTATTTTTGTTGATTCCATGGCCATTTCTATAGTTGATGATCAAAAAATAAAAAATGAGAGACCTGGATATGATGCTGCTGCTGCTAGTTGGTTTGATTTTGGAATTGTTTTTCAAATTTTAAATTTTTTTTCCCTTTTTTCAAAAGTCAAACACCCACACACACACACATTCAAGGATTTATGTTGTTTGATACCACCATCAACCCAAAAAAAATTTACACACAGATTCCCATGAAATCATGTGAATCATCCAAAACAAAAAAAAAAAAAAAAATAAAGATCCTAAAAGTTCAAAAATAGTGGGTGGATGGGTGTTTTGCATTGCACACAAATCACACACACCTTCTTTTTTTCTTCTGTTGTTGATGCGCAATGGTAACCTCATAATAACGATAACAACAAGTTTAGATCAAACCAAAAGACTGGTTTTTTTTTGTTGTATTTCTTTCTATTCGGCAAAAATTAGGTCTATGTCATCTAGGAATTTATTTTCGTTCAAGTGTTCCAATTTTAATTTTGGTTGCCTTCATCCAATACCGCTACATACACAGACACACACACACAGACGATGAGATAACATCTGGAGCTTGAAATATTGTGTGTGTGTATGGAACCATATACGATGCCCAAAATTCCATAATAAACACACACACACACACACACACACGGTTAATAATAACCAACTAGAAACTGAAAATTTATCAATACGAATTTTATATTTTCGCTTTCGTTGTTAATATCCGGTTTTTTTGTGCATATACCGGAAATGGCTAGTTTTTTTAATTAAGAAAATTCTCATTTTTCATTTGAAACAATAATTGATCATCATCATTATCAACAAAAAAAAATTTTTTTTTTGTTTTGTTTTTTATTTTCTGATCCATCATCAATGATAATAATAATAATAAAAATAAATTAAAATAGTGAAACCTGCTGCGCGCGCTTCTGTCGTCGGTTTCCTATTCTGACGATGATGATGTGTTTGATGGTGGTGGTGGTGGTGTTGATGGTGCTGTTGTCCAGAATTCAATGATGATGAAAGATGAAAGAATCCAGCATGCTGCTGCTGCTGCTGCTGTCATCATCAACATCATCATCATAATAATAATAGTCGTTGTCGTGTGTGTGTGTGTGTGTGTGTGTGTGTGTGTGCCTAAGTGAATCCAGAAAATTCTTTTTGATTCTCATTCTCATTTGATTCTGTTTTTTTGTTGCATTATCATGTTTTTTAAAATGAATTTTTTTTCTCTCTCTCTACTGATATACTATGATACTATAATATCAATGATGTAACCAAAAACAAAAAAAAAAAAAATAAATTCTCAAAATTGTCAATTTTTTTTCTTCGAACATTCAAGCAGGTTAATTATTGAATATTTTTTTTTCTTTGTGCAATAATCATTGATATATGATCAACAATGATGATAAAAAACCAACAACAACAACAACAACAATAAGAAAAAATTGTCACCAGAATTTGAATGAAATTTTGGTAAGTTTTTTTTGGTTTTTTTTTTAAATTTTTTTTTAATATTTGCAATTATGCAAAATAACCATTTGGTTATTGTTTTGTTTCATCATTCGATTTTATCCTATAAAATTGAGATGCAATCAAATGATGATGACTCATTGCAAAATAATTCTTCATGTGGATGTTTTGTTGCAATCACCCTAAAATTGTGACTATAAGATGCAACTATCGAAATGCAATGCGATAGTTTGCATAAATCATCAAATAATGTTAACGGAAGGAATATTTTAGAAAATTTTTTTTACATTTTCACTTGCTTGTTTTTGATTGAATGAATGAATGAATCAATCAATCAATCAGTCATCGATCGAATCATCAATAAATAAGATTCCTATTGAATTGTTATTGGAATTCCTAAGTGCAATGATGATGATGATGATGATTTTTTTAATTTTTGAATACAATTTACAATCGTCGCCATCTATTGTTCACCATTATCGTTATAGTTGTATTGAGCAGTGAGAGTACATATAGCACAGACATGCATGCATCTATCCAATTCCATTTTTTTTTTTTTTTTTTTTTTGGTTAATTATTATCATCAGCATCAATTGCAATAAAATCGTGGTCATATAATCTTCAACACTCCAGCCACCCAGCACCACCACGACGCTCAAGCTGTCTGTATCTTTAACCAATAATAAAAAAAAAAACAAAAACAGGCTAAATGATTTAGATTTGATTTGGCCCCTTGAAATTAAAATGATTCACATGACCATCACCACCACCATCATGCATGTTTGCCGGTTTTTTCCATTCTTTTGTGCGGGATCATTTTGAATTTGTTTTGTCCATTTGTTTTAAATAATTAATTCATTGACCATGTGATATAGATTTGATTTATTTTCAAAAAAAAAGAGAATCTCTGTGTCAGTGTGTGTGTGTTTTTTGTTTTGCATATCATTATCATCATCATCATCATCATATAACCACCGCAATTATCATTAATCTCTCTCTCGATTGATATAATAATAATAATTAATAATAGAGAAATCAAATTTCTTGTATTACATGCAACAACAACAACAACCACACGTTCGATTTTTTTTTCTTCTAAACTTCATATGAATGATTGATTGATTACACTGATTTATTTGATTGATAAAAAAAAAGAGAAAAAAAATACTCAATTTTTCTTTTCGTGTTCGAATATATTGATTGATTGATTGATTGATCAATTTAATTTTCTGCAACTGTAATAAGCTTGTTGGTATATGCTTCGAATTTCTTATCATTATATGTTTTTTATTTATTTATTTTTTTCATTCCAATTTTACAGGAATCCATTGATTGATAATATTGGACAAATGATATCCAAACAACAACAACAACAACAACAATTATTACAAATTCTTTTTTGCTCAAAAATCAATGAGATCTTTTTCTGAAAAAAAAACAAGTATTATTTGTTTCGATGTATTGAAAAACTCTTCAGACATCTACGAAATTCTCATTCATTCATTCATCTTAAAATAATCATCTATATCTCTATAATCAGCGCTCAACGAATCAGCGAATTTATTTTTTATTTTTTTTTTTTTTTTTTTTTTCTATTGACCAAAGCAAAACACACAAACAGCAGCACTACGTATACGAAAAAAAACGTTTGCATAAATGAAATGATGAGAAAGCATAGTAAATCAAGTAAAGATAAATTGGAAAATGTACAAACCGCCGCCGCCTCTTCGTTAATTGATCCAACAACAGCCACTGAATCAATCACCGTTCCATGTACAACAACAGCCACAACCATTTCAACGATTGCTTCCGCTGCCGCTCTCAGTCCTAGTTCGCCTGAATCTGAAGGTCAATCTAGTTCACTGCCAGGTTTGGCTGGTACATCATCGATGGCAACAACAACTAGTTCATTTATTAGTGATGAGCCGATACCACCACCAAGCCCGTTTGATCAGCCATCAACTAGCCGAGATTTTCCATTCAAAGTATGTCATAAGAATTTCTTTTTTCATTATTAGTTTTCATTAAAAAATATTCATTCTGACAGGACAAAAAATCGAGCATTAGCTCATCAAGTGATTTTGGTTCGAAACCAAAACAGGTGATGATTCATTCACCTGGCCAAACAAAACCGAAACCAGCAACAACACGTAAAAAACCATCAATACAAAGCGTTATTGATGTGGATAAAAAGATACAAAAATGTAAAGAAGAAGGTTGTAAAAGTTTCGATCTAACCAAATCGAATCTTTCATCATTACCTGTATCGATACGGGATTTAACTCAATTGGTTGAATGTTACCTGTATCAGAACAAATTAGTCACATTGCCCAATGAAATTGGTTGTCTTGTCAATCTGGAAAAATTAGCGGTCAACGAAAATTCGCTTACCAGTCTACCGGATAGTCTTTCGAATCTGAAACATTTAAAAGTATTAGATCTAAGACATAATAAGTTGAATGAGGTAATGGAATTAGATTTGATAAACCAATTCTAATGATCAAATTTTTTTTTTATTCGACTTCAAGATTCCTGATGTTGTTTATCGTTTAACATCATTGACGACATTGTTGCTTCGTTTCAATCGAATACGTGCCGTTAGCGAAGAGTTGTCCAATTTGACGGTAATAATAATTTGTTTATTTTTTAAAATTTTCAACAGCTGAATTCATTTTTTTTTTAATTTTCACATACAGAACCTGACAATGTTAAGTCTACGTGAGAATAAGATCAAAGAATTACCTGGTGGCATCGGAAAGCTTACACAATTACTTACATTGGATGTATCCAATAATCATATTGAACATTTACCATCAGGTTTGTGTTGAATAATGAAGAATTCAATACAGAATTTCGAATAAATCTAATTCATTCGAATTTTTTTTTTATTGTTAATCAGAGATTGGTAATTGTGTACAACTGACTACATTAGATGTTCACCATAATGAGCTTGTTGATATACCTACTAGTATTGGCAATCTAATCAATCTGACAAGACTTGGTTTAAGGTAATGTATATACTATTATTATCGTATTTATTGTTGAATCATATAAATTAAAAATCAACCATGTTATGACATCATTTTCTATTAGATACAATCGCCTTATATCAGTGCCAAGGTCGTTAAGCAATTGCATCAAGCTAACTGAATTTAATGTTGAGAATAATTCATTATCACAATTGCCCGATGGTCTCTTATCTAGTCTTTCTAATCTGTCAACATTGACTTTATCAAGAAATAATTTTACTTCGTATCCGATTGGTGGTCCATTACAATTTTGTACCGTACATGTTAGTTTTATGAAATTTTTTTTATGTGATTTTAATTGATAAATTTTTGTCATTCTATTTCCTACAACATAGTCAATCAATATGGAACATAATAAAATAACCAAAATACCATTCGGTATATTTTCAAGGGCTGCCAATCTAACCAAATTAAATATGGTTGACAATCAATTGACATCATTACCATTAGATATCGGTACCTGGGTCAATATGGTCGAGCTTAATCTTGGAACAAATCAGCTGCCAAAAATACCGGAAGATATTGAACATTTGGAAAATTTAGAAGTGTTGATCATTTCAAATAATAACCTTAAACGTTTACCATCAACTATTGGTCGATTACGAAAACTTCGTATATTGGAACTTGAAGAAAATCGTTTAGAATCATTGCCAAATGAAATTGGTAAGAATCATGGTCATTTTTTTTCATCATAAAATTAATGATGATGATGATATTATATTCTTTATGAAAAAAAATGTAGGTTATCTAAGCGAATTACAACGACTTGTATTGCAGAACAATCAATTGACATCCATACCACGAGCAATTGGTCATCTAACCAGGCTAACTTATTTAAGTGTTGGAGAAAATAATCTATCTACACTTCCTGAAGAAATCGGTTAGTAGTAACAAAATCACTGCATGTGTCTTTTTTTTTCTTCTTCCAAATGAATTGTAATAATAATAATGGCCATGCAAAAAAATGATTCTCATTTTTTTTCAATTCAAGCTATCAATCAATCTTTTTTCCCCTGTCTGTCTGACGACCGATTTTTAAAGTTTTTTTTTCAAACAATTGAATCGTCGATTCGATTCGAATTATCCTCTCTCCAATTCACTGTCCTCTCTCTCTCTCTCTCTCTTGTATTTGTCTGGCCTTTGTCTAACCTTTTTTTTCTTTTTTTGAATTTTTTTTTATCGATCTATAATAACAACGATAATAGGTACATTGGAAAATCTTGAATCATTGTATATAAATGATAATCCAAATCTACATTATCTTCCGTTTGAACTCGCTCTTTGTGCCAATTTACAGATAATGAGCATTGAGAATTGTCCATTATCACAATTTCCTACCGATATTGTTAATGGTGGTCCTTCATTAGTTATACAATATCTTAAAATGAAAGGTCCTTATCGTATGTGATATTATTATTATACATTATTATTATTATTATTATTACACATCAATCGCCCACAAAAAAATGTTTAATTATCGATTCAATTCAATAATAATTTAATTTGATTCATTCTTCGATTCTGTTATTGGAAAAACCAAAAAAAAAAAAAAAAAAAACAAACCAATCAAGAGAAGAAAAAAAAAGAGAAAGCTTAATTTTTTCAGAAGAAGAAGAAGAAATCATCATCATTTCCTACTTGTTCAATCATCATCATCATCATGGTATCATTTTGTTCCCATCATTATCATCATTCATAATCATTACATGATTATTATATACCAAGCTCTGTTTTCAAACAAAACAAAACAAAACAAAAAAAATGAAATGAAAATGAAAATTATTGTTATTTGATTCGCGCCCTCTTTGTAATTCAAATCAAATCATCATCATCATCATCATCATGATCATTATAAATAAGAACCACACACACATACACGAATATATTCGATATATTTATCCAATATACAATCTTTTCTCTCTCTAAATATACATTATAAATTATATATTTATATTATATATATATTGATGACATTTAAAAGGAACTATATATTTTTTGAACCTTTTTTTTCTTATCCCATTCGTTAATGATGATCCCTATTTTTTTGTTTTGTTTTTTTTTTTGGTCACTTATTTTGGCTACAAAAAAAACACACACCCACACCCACATTTTTTTGTTGTTGTTGCATATACGCTTGAAAACCCTGATTATTTTTTTTTGTTGTCGATTCATGATGTAAATCTTTGGAAAATGAAAAAAAAAATGAATTTCATACACACACACGAACAATCTCTCAAATGACATTTTGAATGTAATGATGATGATGATTGATTTATTTATATATTATTTCTGTTATATCTGAAAATTTTAATGATAATTTTAATTTACGAATTTTGTTGACAATAAACACCCACACACACACACACACACATCATATATTGAATATATCGTAGATGAAAACAAACAAACAAACAAAAAATTAGTACCAAAACAAACAAAACCGAATGAATGAAATAGAATGTTATAGAATCATTCAGAATTCAATCACATAATAAAAATCAATCTCCGGACACATACACAAATCATAATGTAATTTTTTTTCGTAATTCCGAATTTAGAAAATTTAGTTTTAAAATTTACAGAAAAACAACAACAACAACAACAATTCTTGACGACGGTGGAAAAAAATTCTTGAATCGAACCGAAAAAATGTCATCATCATCATCATCATCATCATCATTTATCTTTTGTTCACATCGGTTATTTAATAATGTAATGATTACATTTGTCATTTTAAATTGAAAAAAAATGTTTCACTGTGTGTGTGTGTGTGTGTGTGTAAATGGCCCAAAATTGATGATAAAATTAAAACAAATGATGATGATGATGATGACTATAATGTCTATTTCAACTCAATTAGATTTGAATTTGATTTGATGAGTTTTTGAAAGCAAAAAAAAAAAAAATTAAATTAAAACTTTTTGATTTTATCTATAGGTCTGACCAACCAGAAAAAAACGAAATCATTTGACCGATAAATGTGATGATAATGAAAAAAAAAACTTTTTGACATCTCTAAATATATTGTAAACCTTGAAACCGGATTAACCCATTGTGATTCAATTTATCTTCAGTGATACAAACTGCGTTTTTTTTATTAACCAGAAAAATGTTTATAACGATTCATTCATCCATTCATTCATTTATTTACCAAATTTGATGATGATGATGATGATAAACACTACCAGCGATTAATTATCCTCATAATCCTCATAATCATAATGATGATAATGATTATTGTCATCAAATTTTTTTTTGTGGTGCAAATCTAAAACAATGATGAGAACACACTATGGCCATTGGTTTTGTTTGTTTGTTTTTTTTTTACTAATTTCTGGTGCACTACGAAATCTATTAGTTCCATTTGAATGAGCAAAATGGAATCCATGCATGTATGGATTTTTTTTTTTTTTTTGCTGCTGATTAGCAAAATGGATGATGATGATGATGATCATCACGATGATAATGATGAACCAATATGGCAAGCCAACGCCCAAAAGAAGAAAAAAAACAAGGTGCCACATAAGAATAATAATAAAACAAAAAACAAACAAAAAAAAATCATAATCATCAGCAATATGATGATGATGATCATAAAAAAAAAAGAAAAGAAATTATCTCACACACACACACACACACACCAAATTAGAATCAATAATAAAATCATTTGAAATAAAATTAACCTGACTTTTCTTACCATTATATATATAAATGGAGCCAATTCATTTCATTTTTTATTATTATTATTGTCCAACATATAAAACAAACAACAATAAAATGTAAAAGGTTAAAAATGATTGATATATTTCATCACAAAATAATCAGTAGCCATTAATGGATTATATCGAGATGAAATATTGATAATATGATGATGATAATAAACTTGCTATAAATCCACTGATGGTGATGATAATAGCCATTCGATTCGATTTGCTGCCATGTTTCTTGTTGTTGATTTTTTTTTCTTTGTATTTATAATATATAAAATTTAAAAAAAAATTCGCGAAAAAAAAATGGAAGCGACAGTGCAATCCAGTCTTACATTCAGATGGACCGCCACCACTTTTATGACGACGACGACGACGACGACGACGACAACGACGACGATTACGATTAGTACCATCCATCCACTCTTTTTTTTATATTCAAAATTCATCATTTATACGCATACACAGAAAAAAAAATCAGATATCTCTCTCTCTCTGTGTCTGTGACTGTTTGACTGTGTGTGTGCATCATATCCATTTCAGTTGGTTTTTACATCTTGTTTCGTTTGGATGTGTTTGATTTTAGTCATTATTTTTCTTCGTTATTCGTTTTCCACCATTCGTGTTATCCATCGCGTGAATTCATTTACAGAACAAGAAAAAAAACTTGTTTTTTCTTTGTCCACACACATACACACACACACAGATAGACAGACAACACAAGTTCAATCAACAAAAATCATCATTTCTTGATATTGGGAGTGTATGTGAATACATTTTGAATAGAAAACTTTCGCCTTCAAACTATATCTATTCATCCATTGTGTCCTTTATGAATTTTCCAAAGTGTTCTGTTATTGTGTGTGTGTGTATGATGGATTTTGAAGCCAATTTTTACAAGACTCAAATTCAGACTTACAAATCAAATCAAATCAATTCAGTGAATCCTGGTCTGTGTTTTTTTTTTTTTTTGTTTTTTTTTTTTTTGGATATTGCCCATGTGTGTGTATGTATGAGTGTGTGATTTCCTTTTTCGAATCACTAAACTATATTCATTTTGTTTTCGTTTTTACTGTTTGTTGTTGTTGTTGCTGTTGGTGGATAAATCAAATTGGAATGCAAAAACAAAAACAAAAACAAATCAATTTCCCTCTTTTTTGTAATAATAATTACATTTTTTTTTTGGCCCAATTTTATTGATCTCATCATCATCATCATCATCATCGTATTTGATCGATCCAAAAACATTTCTTCATTTTACTATAATTTTGTGAGATTATCTTATTGACGACGTAGTATAGTATATATATATGAATTGTCTTCATTTTGGAAAATAAAACAATCATCATTTCGCTATGTAAGTATGCCGTATGTTTTTGTTTTTTTCTGCTTTTTTTTTTTTTTTTTGTTCTTGTTGACAAACAAACAAAATAAAAAATGCCACATTTAATCCATTTTTATCCATCATTATCATCATCACACCATTTTATTGTTGTTGTTGTTGTTGAATGACAACAATTTCAATAGTTCTAAAGTAGTAGTGTGTGTGTGTGTATAGTTTTTGTTTCGATGAATATAAACACATCAATATATTATATCAATGGAGATATTGATTATGAATAATAGTTAATCATCATCATCATTAAAGAAAAAAAAAATCGATGGAATTTGAAGAATCTACATCATCATCATCATCAGCAGCAGCAGTAGACACATTTTGTATTTGTAATACACCGGTAATAACCTTGTTGTTGTTGTTGTTGTTCAAATAATGTAACAAAAAAAAAATTGATGATCAAAGCTAAACTACTATAGATTTTTTTTTCTCTGCTGAATCATCAATAAATCATCAATCAATCAATCCTTGCATGATTCAATCAATCGATCGATCAAATGTATATATACTGTAATATATAAAAACATTCGTGTTTTTTACACAAAATATAAAAATATATTACATACCATACACATACATTGAACAAGAGCTAACAAGAGTTTTTTAATTTTTTTTTTTTTTGATGTTGGTATCTAATCGATATGAAGAAAAAACATCGACCTTGTCCATAGCATCGAACAAACAAACCAACAAACAAAAAAAAACTTTGGCAACGAAAGAGGGAGGAACAAGAACGAAAAGAGTCAAATATCGATAGTCATCGATTATTTTCATATACACTGACACATTGTGAATGATTCGAATTTTTTTTTTTTTTATTTTGATTTTCATCTTGATAAAACATTGTGTCGTTGTTTTGTTGTTTTGTTGTTGTTGTTGTGTATGTTTGTATGCATTTCAAATGATGTTTGCATTTCAATCTTTGAATTCTTTTTCTTCAATGAACCAAACTTTTTTTTTCTTTATTCAGTTCTGTCCATCATTTAAATTCATTTGGGATTCATGTTTGTTTATTTGGGTGCGTCGTCATCGTCGTTGTTGTTGTTGTTGTTGTTATTTCTCGCCCAAATATTTTCTCTTGTTAATCCATAACAAACATATCCAAAATAAATGAAACTTTTTTTCTTTTTTTTATGAAAATCTAGTAACTTTTCTGTTTTCATCTTCCAATAATAATAATAAATTCCCGGGAAAAAGAATCGATAATTTGAATCATCTATATATTTATACCAGTCAGTTTTGCTAATTTTGTTTGATCCAACCAACCAGCCAAACATACACACGCACAAATATTAATTCCCAAAAGAAATTACGTTATTTTTTTTTAGCTGAATAAAAATGATGATGATGACCAACAACATAACGTAAACAACAGATAATAACCGAAGAAATGGTAAGTTATTTTGTGTTCCTACGTTTTTTTTCCGTTGTTGCTGATGGTGGTGGTGGTCGTTCCAGATTAATATCAAAAAAAAAAAAAAAAAAAATTAATATCATTATTACCGGACTGACGGATAGATGATGAAAAAAAAACTTTAATGTCTCTGCATGTGTGTGTGTGTGTGTGTGTGTGTGTGTGTGTGGTTAGTGAATATGACAATCCATCATCCATGATCCAAAATATACACGTAACATTCGAAATCAGTTTTTTGTATATCAGTAGGGAAAAATTTTTTTTTTTTTTCATTTTCCCACTTTAATTTGCATAATTTGTTTTTTTTTTGCACATTTTATCATTATTTAATGATGATGTATTGCTTCTATTTTCCATTCGATCGACGACCAGATATATAGTTTTTGCTATTAGCTAAAAAGTTTTTTTTTTTTTTTTTTTTTTGTTCAACATACAATATTCGATAATTAGGCATATAAAAAAAATCGGATACGACATTTATGAATTTGCCCAATCATCATCATCACTATGAATCGAATCTTTTTCTTCTTCTGGTTGTTTGATTATTGAATCGATGTGTAATTTTTATTTTTATTTATTTGCACGTTCAGATGTTTGATTTATGAGAATTATTTCAATTGAATTCTTTTTTTGTGTGTATGTTTCGCAAAACTTATTTTATATTTTTGTCAATGTAGGCGTTTTTTGTTGTGCATGTGTATGTATATGTGTGGTATGTTTATTTTGCATTTTTCTTTTCATCATCATTTTCACACAACTTTTTCTATAGTATCTCTTTGACGTTTTTATTCAAAAAAAAATTTCAATTCATTCAAATTATTTGCATGATCTATAGTGTGTGATGTATATTTGAATATTTGAAATTCATTTCATTTCATTTCGTTTGTTCCACAACATACATCACATCACTTTTTTATTTCACACTATCTATGTATGTGTGTGTATGTCTTTGTTATTTGTATTATATTTGAGGGTATGAATGTATGAGATATACACTGTGCCACAAAGAAAAAAAAAGTAAACAGTAGTAGGTTTGCCTTTGCAATGGAAATTCTTTTTTTTCCATTCTATTCTATTCATAAGCTTCAATTCACTGTGAAATGATGAATTTTTTTTTCTTATTACATTGAACCAGAATCCTTTTTACATGGATCGAACAAAATTTTCTTCTTTTTCTTGTTGTTGTTGTTGTTGTTGTCGTTGTTGTTGTTGTTATTGTTAATTGAAAGGATATTTTTCAAGCCACTTTGTTTTGATCCGCTTTTGAAAGGTAATTTATTTTCAATTCACATTAAATTCTGAGCCTTTTTTTATTTGTTATGTTTTGAATGAATGCTATGAATGGTTGTTTGTTGTTCCAGGAATCAAACATGACTACCTGGATGTGTGTTTGCGTGTGTGTGTGTGTGTGTGTGTGTGTGTGTGCGTAATAGCCAAAGAATTACACCAGAACAATAATACTCGCTTTTGAAAAAAAAAAATTCTTATTGCTTTTGTCGTTTTGGAACAACAATAATAATAATAATAACAACAACAACAACAACAGAGGAAAAAAATTGTTTACTTGGCACAATCAAGAACAACAATTTATTGTTAGTCTCTCTCTTTTCACACTCAGTAGTAGCTATTGGCAAATTTATTTCATTTCAAGATATTCTATATATCGAATGGGAATCGAATTCTATCTATCTATCTATCTATCATCATCATCATCACCATCATCATTAATATTTGAAATTTAAGATGATAGAATATTTAGTATTTGGGAGAGAGACGGAAAGAGAAAGATGGAGCTAAGTGAAATATAAGTAAATAAAATAGCGTGTATCTCATTTATGATTACTTTTAATGATCGATAAATGATGATGATGATGATGATTATCTAGCTTGTGGGTAGATAGATTTTTTTTTTGTGTGTAGAAATCTCCTATTCCTGAATTGAATTTTTTCCCTATAGCTATATTCTTAGACACAAGCATCATTTTTCATTCGAAAATCTCTTGGTATATACCAGTAAACCAGAATCACAGGATGAAAAATGAAATTTAACAAAAGCAAAAATTGAAAAACATATTTTGCAATTGTGTTTGTAGACACAGGAACAATAAAGAAAAATTTTATACAATTTACAATGAATGAATAAATGAATGAATGCAGTGAAACAACAACCATTTCATTCTCAATGTGTACATGTACAGATAGACCATCAAATTCTTTCTTTCTTTCTTTCTGTTTTTTTTTTTGACGGTGGTGATGGTGAATCCAATTTGTTTGTTCATAATACACCATTGTGTTCATTCGATTGTATCTATGTATTTTATTTTTATGATTATGATTATGATCATCATCATGATCATCATCGATGTGTCTACCGTCGTAAATTCTTTTGTTCGATAAAAAAAAATATATAAAGTTTTCTCTCTCTCTTTTTTATTATTCTCGATTCTCGACATCAATTTATTTCTACTTTTATTTTATTCTGTATGTGTTCTGTTTGTATTTTTTAAAATTTGTTTGTCTGTATTAAATGGTGTGTGTGTGTGTGTGTGTGTGTGTCATTCTTATCTTTTTTTTGATCTTGAAACGCATAGATTGGAACATGACCCACCAACCAACCAACCAAAAAAATGTCCATGTTCTTGTTTACACACATTTGACATTTTGAATTATTTTCATTTTATATTTGTCTCCTCTATTTCTTTGGTCCAGAGAAACTCTTTCATTCATTCATTCATTCACTTAAATGGATTACACAATTCAAACGATAATAAATTATCTGCTTGATTTGTGATCTCTCTAGCTCTCCTTTTTTCTGGTATTTTCTACAGTTTTTTTTCTCGAATCAAAAAAAAAGTGTGTTTCATTTCTCATCATCATCATCACCACCACCATTTGTGAGACATTATTTCACACACACACACAGCTACCCAGTTTTTATTTTTGGGTATTATGTAATTTGTAAAAAAAAAATCTTGTCCCATTTGAAAACTTTTTTTTCCTTTTTGTCTTGTTTTCCGATATTTCTTTTCCGTCGTTTCCTTACAACAACAACAACAACAACAACAACAAAACGAACGTAGACAATTCTACAATAGAAACAAATATTAATTGAACTTTCTCACTTTTCTCTCTCTCTATCTCTCTCATTCAATCAATGATTAAGTAAAGTGAAGAAAAGAATCAGAAAGTAAACTTTTTTTTTGATTTTGTTTTTCATTATTGTTTTACTTCCGTTTATCATACACACACACACACACATGCATTAATATAGAATAGTAATGGGTAGTAGCTTGGTGTTTTTTTTTGACTTTTTATAGCTTTTTATACGATGATGTTGATAATAATAATGATGATGATGATGATGATGGTAGCTAATTAACTAATTAAATTTTTTTGTTGTTGTTTCACAATGTTCCACATTAAAGTTGACACACACACACACACACACAATGTTTCTGGAACCCCCAAATGGAATGTTTCGTTTATTTGTTCTGGAATATATAGCTAATTTTATTTCTTTTCGTTGATGGAAAATGAAAAATCTCTTCTTTTTTTTGTTTTTGTTTGCCTGTTCATCCATGCTTGTTGTTTTTCGTGGTGAATCCTCATTTTTTTTATTTTCAAACATAGAATCTGCAAAGAAGATGAATAAATAGCACTATGTTATATTTGGAATCGAATTTGATAGCCATAGTATAGTTGAGCATTAGGCATCCACACACACACACACACACACACAAGAATTTGGTTCCAAAAAACCACACACACACACACACATAGAGCTTAGCAAAAACTTTTTTTCTCTTTTGGTTTTTTTTCCTGTTGGGCGGCAAAAAATTCTCTTTTCTATTCACATTGAATTTATCGTCCCCCACCACCATGATGATGATGTTGATGACTATAACGCCCTTAATGATCTTGAACAGAGATTTTGAATCGATTCAATCCATTTGAAACGATGATTCTATGTCGCTTGAGTTGATTTACTTTATTTTTATCTTATTAGACAACAGAACATAGAGAGAAAGAGAGAGTCAAATTTCATTCAATGAAAATAACGGCTGGCCAAGCAAGCAGAAAAAAAAGTAAAAAGAAAAATCCATGAAGAATCAAAAAGAAAATCCAAAGTATTAGTAGCAGTGTATAATCGGCCAGCCACTTGAGCTGTTTTTCTATATTTTTTTTTTTTGTAATACAGAATTTTTTTTTGTTGCATGTTCAATTTCAATGTTATTACGATGATGAGATATTCAAGAGCTTCAAGAGCTCAGCATTTATATTGTATTCTGTCTCTTTTTTCTTTTTTAGTCTAATACGAAAAAATAGAGATAGAGAGTGAGAGAGAATCCTTGTCTTGTTGTTGTTGTTATTTTTTGTTGTTGTTGTTGTTTAGATGAATGAATGAATGAATGAATGATTAAGGCATTAGTAAAACAACAAAAAACAAAACCAAATGAAAAAGAATGTTCTTTATGGTTGGAAATTGGAAAAAAAAGGAAATTTATTTTCATTTCCAAAACCTTTAATGGTCATATGATGGCAATGATGATGATGATTTATACATTGACACACACACACACACACACACAGAATTTTATGATAAATGCAAAAAAAACACGTTCATCATTCATTCATTCATTCATTGTTTGTTTGTTTGTTTTTTTTTCTCATCATTTTCCGGATATTTGATTGTTGTTGATGATCACATATACACATGAAAAATTTAACAAATTCTATTCCATTCTCTCATTATTAACATGATGAACTTTTTTTTCATGAAAAAAAAAAATAAATTATATCTTCATATGTAACAGAAAATTCATTGTCCACAAACCATATATTCATTTAATGATAATGATTATCATTAACAACCATCAACAATGAACTAAACACAACAGTATAGTGATGGTCCACCAATTCTATACTAATTCTGTTTTAGTTCATGTAACCCATACAGAAGATGATGAATCTAGTTCATT